GCCACTCAGGTATAATCTAAACCAAATCCCTTATGAATACACAGTGGAAGTAAAGAACAGATTTAAGGAACTAGATTTGGTGGACAGAGTGCCTGAAGAACTATGGACAGAGGCTCGTAACATTGTACAGGAGGCAGCAACAAAAACCATCCCAAAGGAAATGCAAGAAAGCAAAGTGGCTGTCCAAGGAAGCCTTACAAATAGCAGAGAGGAGAAGGGAAACAAAATGCAGGGGAGATAGGGAAAGTTACAGAAAACTGAATGCAGACTTCCAAAGAATAGCAAGGAGACACAAGAGGGGCTTCTTAAATGAACAATGCAAAGAAATAGAGGAAAATAAAAGAAAAGGAAAAACCAGAGATCTGTTCAGGAAAATTGGAGATATCAGAGGAACCTTTGGTGCAAGGATGGACATGATAAAGGACAAAAATGGAAGGGACCTCTCAGAAGCAGAAGACATCAAGAAGAGGTGGCAAGAATACAGAGAGGAATTATATCAGAAAGATTTGGATATCCCGGACAACCCAGACAATGTAGTTGCTGACCTTGAGCTGGACATCCTGGAGAGTGAAGTCAAGTGGGCCTTAGAAAGCCTGGCTAACAACAAGGCCAGTGGAGGTGATGGCATTCCAGCTGAACTATTTAAAATCTTAAAAGATGATGCTGTTAAGGTGCTACCATACAACTGCACTTATTTCACACACTAGCAAAGTTATGCTCAAAATCCTAAAAGGCAGGCTTCAGCAGTATGTGGACCGAGAACTCCCAGAGGTACAAACTGGATTCCGAAGGGGCAGAGGAACTAGAGACCAAATTGCTAACATGCGCTGGATTATGGAGAAAGCCAGAGAGTTCCAGAAAAACATCTACTGTACTTCTGCTTCATTGATTATGCAAAAGCCTTTGACTGTGTGGACCACAGCAAACTATGGCAAGTCCTTAATGAAATGGGTGTGCCTGACCACCTTATCCAGCCCTTCGTTGTCCAGTTGCGTGGGGATATTCGTATCTGTATAAGAATACCCCCATTTCTGGGGACGTGGTGGTGCTGCGGGTTGAACCGCAGAACCTCTGTTCTGCAAGCTTAGATGACCAGCTGTTGTAAGATCAAAACCACGCAATGGAGTGAGCTCCTGTCGCTTGTCCCAGCTCCTTCCAATCCTAGCAGTTCGAAAGCATGTAAATGCGAATAGATAAATAGGTACCTCCTCAGTGGGAAGGTAATGGCGTTCTTTGTCTAGTTGCACTGGCCATGTGACCACGGAAACTGTCTTCAGACAAACATTGGCTCTACGGCTTGGAGACGGGGATTAGCACCGCCCCCTAGAGTCGAACACGACTCGACTAAATGTCAAGGGGAAGCTTTACCTTTACCCCATCTCTAATTTGGAGTATAAGAGGGGTGCAATAAGGAACATTATTGAACAGCTCTCTCTTTGACTGCTTACGCTTCAGCCTCTGAAGGATTCACTAAATGCTGCAGAAAGACACATGTAGGAACATGTAATGTGGGGAATTTAGCTGCCTGTGGATATATTAATTGTAATTTAACTAACAATCACATAAACTGTTTAGAAGTGACAAATTGTGAAGCAAACTTGATTAACCCAAGATAAGCATACACATTTAAGGATGGAGATAAACAGGCAATCTAGAAGATGGTAAATCAAATCTGAAAAATAAATAACCAGGGCTAGTAAGAAAGCCTACTTTTCCTAAGGGAAGAAGGAAATATGGCCCTACTTCATAGTTCTGAAAAATGGGAATAAGGACCATACTCTTTAGCTCTGGGAGCAAGGATGAAATCTTATTTTAGAGGGGATCTCACAGTGGCACCTGCCTTTTTGACCACTGTGGATGGGTGGGAATTTCCTGTGCATAGTTGGAAACACCAACTGGGTGCTTCCAGAGAGTGGGCTCCTGCTGTTCACAGCTGAAAGGCACTGACAAGGTTTTTAAATAAATGGCAAGAAAAACAAAAACAGAAACAGCAAAAAGAAAATAATGGGGGGTGGGGCAGAGCTGAATCTCATGTCAGGAATTTGTAAAAGCTTCCATGAATAAAGCATCATACTTGCAAGTTAAAAATCTTGTGTGGAAGCACCTGTTGAATGGCAACTATACGACAGAAAGCATGAATTACTACAGATCAAGAATACAGAGGGAAACAGTGGAGATAAAATTTATATATAAGATGGACTTTCATAAAAATGAATTGAATACAAGTCTAGGTTTCCTAAGTCATTAGCAAATGTAATACTTATGCTGCTATCTACTGTTATTTTCCACCAAAACTAGAAGATCCATCTTTCTTTACAAGGTTCAAAGGTAAAAACTGTTAATATTCCCTATTCTAACACACACATCCTCTTTTACTCTTGATATATATTCTTCCTCTCTTCCCCTCATCTTGGATCACCAACCCCCTTGCCTCCTTGTTTTGCTCTTGCCTGGTTATCTGCTTTCCGTCTTCTGTGAGAATGTTCACAAGAGAATCTAGCATCTAACACAGGCTATAAATCACTGCATGTGCGATGTAACCAGACACCCAGAATTCTTAAAACCAATGAATATTTTCAATATTTTACTTGTGATTTCTGTATTTCATTCTGCATTTCATTTCTTTTTCTATATGTATGATGAAGTGGATGTGTCCATGAAAGCTCACATTAAAATATAATAGTCTTTAAGGTGCCATATGTTTTTGCCTCTTTTTTTTGGTTTGTTTTTTGGATTTTACCTGATATAAATTCTCCAGTATATCAAGAAGGAAAGAATCTCAGTATATCAAGAAATGACAAGTGCATTTATTTTCCTATACAGATTGTTGTATCAGTATAACACCACATTACAAGACTTCTGGACACTGATACTAAATTTAGGCCATACTTTAGAAGAGAAATAAAGAAACCAAGTCAAGATCTGCAAAGCTGGTCCTCCTTACCATGTTCTAGTCTTTCGTAGTCCGAGTCCAGCAGGAATGTTTTAAATCTATTGGAAACATAGTGAAATGCTAAGAACTTCAAGTAATACTGACTGAATTCAAATTCTGTTGGATACTGGCTGTGAATCTGAAATATACAGAAAATGGAAATATTCATCAGATTCCCCCAAAGAGTGAAAATAATTGGATTACTCTTTTATCAGAAACACCTTTTCAAGGTACACCCCTTGCCCTCTACTGCTAGATAAAAATAAAGGATGATCACACACATGTATCATGTGCATCAGTAATATCCTAACAAAACCATGTATAGGAAATCTCCATCTATCCACAGTGTTTCGAAGGCAGTGTGGCATTCTCCTTTAAGGTAAGATTTCTTCCTTGCTCTCAGGTCTAAAGAATATTGTTCTCAACATCACCTTCAAAATTATGAGGTCAGATCTCTTAGGAGAAACTAGCTCTTTTTCATGCCCTGTTTCCATTTTTTTTTTTTACAGATTTGACTTCCAGTAGTGTCAGTTTCTCCACCTCCTCCTTTAACTGGGTATAAAAGTCTTTGGGGTTTGCAATGCGATTATCAGAATGAACAAACAGTGGCCAAAATCCTACTGCGTTACTTATATAACTAGCTTAAATCAAATGACAAATTGCATTGGCAAGTTGCTGCTAGTTAATAAATTGAAGATATAAGAGGGGTCGAACTGTTCCTTGTTGTGTACTAATCATTTAACTTAGCATGCAGCCAGGAACAGCCACACCCCTCCTAATTATAACATATACCAGTAGGGTGTCCCTTAGTTTAAAAAAAAAGGGAAAAAAGGAGAGCATCAGTTGCCTGCAGATGCTAAACAGGGGAGAATGGGTAAGTTGTGTAAATGTGCAAGTGGTCATTTGAATAAGGAAAGTCACAGGCAAGCAACATATTTTTCTTCTGCATAGTCTCTGTACATTCACACATATGGGTAAAGACTAGTCATCTGCAAAGGCCTCCAGAAGGCATATAGGTAGGCAACCTTCATTCAACTGGAGAACTATAGAAAGAAAATCTATCCAAAGGAACCATCCCTCTAAAATCAGATACCAAGTTGGTAGTTTTGGATGAAGGTCAAGACCAAATTGCCATATGATGCTTCTCAAGCAGGGAAATTCACTGCAGAAATGTACTTGCAATGGCTGCTGTCTTGGTAGAGTGACTTATCTCGGTAACTGGCAATAGAGTGTTGGCTGGTTGATATGACAACATAATCATTTTCTTGATCCATCTGACAACACATTGTGATGACCCTGGCATTATCTTCTTAGACTCAGAATGAACCAAAATAGGCTGTGGAGATTTACGATTTGGAGCCTTTATGTTTCGACAATATGCTAAACTTCTGGAGTGTGTGTGTGCAAAAATCTTTCTAATGGAATAGAAGGTGACAGAAAGAATTCTAGGAGAACAATATATATGAGACAAAAAACTGAGATGACCTTTGATATAAACAAGAGATAGGGCTGAATAATGACTTTGTACACCAATATAGACAGGGTTGGTCCACTTGCAGTGTACAGCATTCTCCTATACAGCATCTGCCACAACTGCTGGGAGCCAGAAAAGCTGAGAGGGTTGTATAGAACAGGAGATGAGAAAGATTGATAACAGATAAACTTTGAGAGAATGGTAAACTTCTATCCAAGAGTCAGTAGAAATTGCAGTTGTTTGCACTGAACATGTGATCTACATGTGCTACATGAACTATATATTAAAGGGGAGAGCAGTAATTTCCTCCCAACTTCTTAAAAATACTGAAATACTGCCTGAGAGCTAAAAAAGGTCTTGTTACATTATGAGAGGGCAGCTTGATTTGTTTTGTATGTCACTGATGTTCAGAGCTGTAACTAGCAATTTTGGCAGCTCGGGTACCGTTTCCAGCTCACTCTGCCATAAAGCATGGGCACAAGCCACTACCAAGAAAAAAGAGACAAATGTAGTGCCCCCCCAAAGAAAGAGAAAGTTTATCCTTTCAATAAAGGGGAAAGAAATAGGGCTTGGAGGTGTTTATTCCCCCTCCCTCTTCACATTTGCCAATAGATTCATCTCTATTTGTTTTGCTCTCTGTTGTCTTGGGGCAAACAACCACTTGTCCTGCCCTAGTTACCAGGCTGCTGATATTTGTCTAGAGGAGTAAGATAAAGGTCCCTCTAAGACCTTGGGAGGGGGTGAGCACTTCAATGCTGGAGGCATTCAAGAGAAAATTAGACAACCATCCACCAGGTATACTTTGATTTGGATTTAAAGGCCCCTTCCAACTCCTATTCTATGATTCTCTAATATGCATTTGATCTTACATCTGCACAGGAACAGAGGAGCAGAATGAACAGGAAACTGAATGGCTCTAGTACTGTATTTCAGCTTACATTAGGATCTTCATCTTGTTTTAATTAACATCAGTCACAACTGTTATCATTTCTGCTAATTACCTAAAATCATTAGTGGTTCACTAACATCTGATTCTGTTTATTGAACAAAGTAAATCCATGTGCTTCAAGTAGAAAAACAAATGCATATTGAAAACTGATCCTAAGCCCACAAACAAGGGTAAAGAAATGGGGGAAAAAAAGGAAAAGCTACTCAGAGCTTAACTACATGGGCTCAATTGGAGTGGGCTAGATCAGTCTATATAGGGTTGCTAGAGGCTGCATTCAAATGGCCTATGCAGCTCAAGCAACTCTGTTTGACTTGACTACTTCCACTTTTAAGTTTGCCATATATGAGTATATGACAATACCCTAGCTGCCATGGAGGTGCAGAGGAAGTGATTTTTTAAAAGCTGCAATAGGATATTGCTGATGCACAATATCATTTATAAAAAAATATATGTCAAACCTACCCCCAGAAGTGGGAGGAGACAGAAGTGGGCAACAAGGGGCATTTTTTTTCTTTCACTTGTCTTAAAGGTCTGATCAAAAACTTGCTCACAGCTGAATCCACTGCAGATATGGTAGATTGAAAGTAACAGGATTTGACAACTGCAAGCCTCACTTTGGTTCATTTCCAGCAAATGCAGATCCTACCAACACCAAAACGGTAGAAGCTCCTGATAAGGGAGCAGAAAGGTGTGGGTAGGAATGTTCTCAGGATGGTTTAGCCTTCAGCAGTAATTCTGTTGTGTGATTGCCAGAAAAAGAAGCAAACCTATCCATTCTCACAGCAGAACTTACAGCAGGGGAGCTCCTCTCTTGCTTTAAGGACCTAGCATCTCTAGTTAAAAGACTGCAGGTAGCAAAGTTGAGAAAGTCCTCTGACTAACAACCTAGAAAACCGGCAAGTCAAAAGAGATAACCTGGGAACAAGTAAACCAACGATCTCCCTCAATAGATATCAGTTCCATATGTATACAGAATGAAATCTCTTTGAACCCCTAGTCAACAATATGTAGAAGTTTTGTGAAGAGAGAAGCTGTAGGAGAGAAGTAGAGATCTTGAGAGATTGGGTGCCTTTGAGTAGACATAGAAGAGGTCTTTGTCTTCCATCTAGATATTGAAACTTTCCCTCTCAAAAGGTGTCTGCTAGAAATGTAAACCTGAGCAGTTTGGAGGCTAAATCAAGAGGCATGTTAGCCAGGGAAATCATGTTTTTGTATGCCTCGTATGTTTTTCTTCAAATGAGCACAGGAATCTGAAAATCAGACTATTTGTACATTTAACTCAGTATTTTCTATTTTGATTGGCCACAGTTCTCCAGTATCACAGGCAGAGGTCTTTCTTTGCAATCAGTGGTTACTGATTCTTCTAACAGGGGAGGCCATTGATTGGAAAATATATTTAATGTCTAAATCACCATCATTGCAGAGCTGGAAAGGACCCTATGGATCATTGAATCTAGCCCTGTCAAGGATGCACACTGAGGAATCAAGCTCCCAACTTCTGGCTCTGTAGCCAGATGCCTAAATTACTGAACTATGTAAATATAGAATATTTAAAAATATATACCATATCTGTATTGAGAAAACTTATATGTGAAATACAGTATTTTTCCACAGGATTAACCAACACATTAAGTAGACATAAGCTGCTGTAGAAGGTGATGGCATTTCATAGTATGACATCACCATCACCAACTCTGTCTTCCACAAACAACTAGAAGATCTACCAGATGCTGCTGTTGTGAAAGAATGATTCATGTTAATAAGTCAGCTGACACCTGGAATTATTGGCATAAACAATGGCTTTTTGGAAGATGATACAGTTCCATTTTAAACTTCATTAATTCTCTGTAGTTGAAACAAGGACAAGTCTTTTGTCTAGCATATCTTGGTTCCACCCAACACATTAAAAGAGGCATACTGCTAAAATGTATTTGTTGCTCTTAATTGTTTGTGTAGTACCACTTGTGAATTTATATTACAGATAACAAATTTACATCTTTAAGCATGCGGAGAAACATGAGATATTACTGCTAGAAAACAATGTTCCAAATTGGTAAGCCTGCAGTGTATTGCAGACTGTTGAGCACGAGATTCAATAACCTCTCAAGGAGAAAAACTTCATGTGTGGGAGCTACACAGCTCTGATTATGATAGGTTGGGAGCCAGTAACAAGCACATATATTAAAATTGTGTCCTGTTCACAAACTGACGTGTAATACCTTCATATCCTTTGTTAGAAACATAATATTGAGCTGGGTGACTCAGTATGCACATTTTTGTTTGTGCTGGGAGCTGATATATAAAAAGTAACCCAGCATTTAAAGAGAGAACCACGTACAGTGGGGTCTCTACTTAAGAACTTAATCCGTATTGGAAGGTGGTTCTCAAGTTGAAAAGTTCTTATGTTGAATCTGCATTTCCCCTAGGAATGCATTGAAAACCATTTAATCTGTATCTGCTCTTTTCCGTCCATAGAAACTACAGTGGAACCTCTACTTAAGAACTTAATCGGTTTTGGAATGGTGTACTTAAGTTGAAACGTTCTTAAGTTGAAGCAAAATTTCCCATAGGAATGGACTGAAAACCAATTAATCCGTTCTGGCTGTTTTTTTTTGTTATGTAGAGGTGCGTTCGTACATTGAAGCATTAGTTCCCATAGGAACTAATGCAAAGCTGGTTAATACGTACTCTACCACTAGGGGGAGAACTTTTTTTTTTAACCTAAGATGACCTAAGGTTAAAAAAAGAGCAGGAAAGTTTTTTTTTCCTGTTCTTATCTTGGATTTCTGTTCTCAAGTAGAAGCAAAATTTAGCAAATGGAGCTGTTCTTAAGTTGGATTGTTCTTAAGTAGAGACGTTCTTAAGTAGAGACCCCACTGTAACTGTTGAAAAACTTTGATTGTCATATGAGAAGCTTTTCAAATCTCACAGTTTGTAAATTAGCTTGCTGTGTTTCACTACTGGTTTTTCGAAATCCAAACAGTTCTTCCTTTGAAATCCTTTGAATTTTGAGTGCATGCCAGTCCAGTAGGCTTGGCATATGCCTGAAAATCCAAGTGGTGATTTATAAAGTGTCAGTGAGAAGCTATTGCAAGTTACATTGTTTGCTTTCTGCAGGCTAACCATGCAACAAGATTTGGGCTCAAGATTCATAAATATGAATGTGGATTACAGACCTCAAATTCCATCTTCCAAAAATCTGTGACATACGTAGGGAGCCCACAAGAGGGAATGACAGGGGAATTCTCTTACATGCCAAGGCTAGAACAAAGTAGGAAAAGCAGAGACAGGTAGCTGCTGTTGTTTGCTTTCCAATCTGCTTTGTAAGTGAGTACCCGAGTATATGGATATAGATTGTATGGCCCTGATTGAGGATGTTTATGGACATCTACTTGAATTTTTGAGGTGTACTGAAGAAACAGTGATAACTATTACTTTTATAGATAATGAAAAGTTTTTCATTAGAATTGTATTTTACATAAGTTGTTTTATTTTCATACTTTTCTGTTGCTACATTTTACTGAAACCCTAAAATATGTTCTAGTTTCCACCTATCAACCTGGAATGTTTACACTTTTACACCCATACACATTACAGGTAATGTAATAGCTATGCTTACCTGGTGCACACAATCCAAGAACTGCAGGAAAATAGGAGCAAACCCACTCCCTTGACAATTGAGGGTCAAATTACTGCGCTGGCTAAATTTATGACCAAAAGATAGCCATTCTTTTTCTATCAGCATTCTGAAGCCTTCAAGTGTTCGATAGAATGGATCACTGATTAACTGCACAAGTGACACCACCTAGGCCATAAAATGAAATTTGTACATTAACACTCTGTACAGTGTGTTTTTGTATAGTTCACATATATCAGTAGCTCTCCAGCACATTTATGAGATCTGTAACAGGCAAAATAGTGGGGCACTGCAGTAAGTTATCTTTCCTGCTACCTTTCACTCTACCAGGCATGTAATATTTCTTGGCAGAAATGTAGCATTATATAGCTAAACATTTGTGTTTTTTTGTATGGTGGAAGCAATCCATAGTACCACCATTATGTGTGAAGTGACATTATTTGTAAATGATGGATCAAAACTTTCCATGATTTGGCCAATAATAAACAGTTGGGATATGTGAGATGAGATTCAAATGATTTGACAAATTATTCAGCTGTTAAAATTTCTACTCATGCATTTTATTTTGTGGGTTTCATTTAGTTATTTTTATAAATACCCCCTTAGAAACATTCAGTTCAAATGTGAAAAGATAAAAACTGACAATGAACAAGAAGTAAATGGAAAATAAACACTAAAAGTCTCCAAGAGTTGGTAGTATTGATTTGTTGCATTCCATGAATTTTTTTTTTGATACTAGGAATTTAAAATTTCTTTGACCTAATTACAGTCCCAGAGTCTATATGAATGTGTAAGAGAGGTTGGTTGTCTCTTAATCATCATCACATCACCACATATATTTATTTCATTCATTAAGATTCATGGATTTCTAGGGGTAAAAACTTTCATAAGCAGTGTGAATTTAAATGTGGTACATTCTCTTGTAAGTACATTCAGGATGTGTTGCCATATGAGTTCTATTGTGCACATAAATTTGACTTTATTAAACAACTACAGTCAATTCATCAACACTGTGCAAAATTCAAGTATTTCTGTAGGGGGGGAGGCTTACACCAGCATAATGGGAGTTAGTCACTCTCTTTCCTACTATCCAATGTGCTCCTACTATCAATGTACTATCCCAGTGTATCTTTCTTCCTCCTCTTACAGTTAACTGTTACTCTTACAGCTGTGACAACTCACCTGTGCTGTGATATCCCAGCCATCTTCCAGACAAATCAAAACAGATGAACCATTCTCAAGCAGTTCTGATATAACCACACCTAACTGCATTATCCGATGAAGCTATAAAAAGAAACAAAAGACAAAGACCACTGAACAAGGGGTATGCTAATTAGTAAATTATTATTAATACTTACCTTGTTCCCTTTCTTAGAAGCTCATCTTAAAATGGTGAAGAGGTTTGACTGTGTCAGGGAAGCTGGGAGCAATGCTGCCAGAAAGCCAGACTCCCTTACAAGCCTGGATTCCTAACAGGGTCATCCCATGGTGAATTGGTCATAGCTGAGACACCAGACTAAGATGCATCCACTCTCTTCAAGGCAGCTACTGCAGAAGGGCAGGAGGTGACAACGGTGGTGTCACTCAAGTTAACTTTTGTTAGTACTGTACAGAAGGTGACAATGGTAAACCCCTGCTGAACTTTACTTACCATGAAAACCCTATGAGAGAGTCCAAAATGAAACAAGAGATAGTGCTGGAAGATGAGACTATAGCACCATTGTTTTAAATTCCCATACAAGCAAAGGTGCTGCAGCGATGCTCAAGGTGTTGCAATGAAGTCTTTTATATACAGTATGGAGCAAGAAATGCCTGATATTCAAGCTGGATTCCAAAAAGGAATAGGCACTCAGGATCATATTGCAAATATCCTCTGGCTACTGAAGCGCACCAATTTCAGATGATCAGTCTCTGATTTATAGACTACAGCAAAGCCTTGGACTGTCTGGATCATCATCATCTTAGAACTGCACAGCTGCAAGGGACCCAATGAATTAACAAGTCCAGCCCTTGTCAAATAGACACAGTGGGGAATCAAATTCCCAGCTTCTGACTCTGCAATGAGATACCTATCCAGCATGAGAAACTATGGGTTGTTCTGAAAGAAATGGGTGTGCCTCAGCACTTCATTGTTCAGGTGCATAACCCATATTGTGGACAAAAAGTTGGCAACAGGACAGAATATGGAGAGAAATAATGGTTTTCTATATGCAGAGGTGTCAGATAAAGATGCATTTGTCCCCTTATCTGTTCAATCTGTCTGCAGAACGTATCATACAGAAAGCCAGACTAGATTCAGATGAAGGAGGAGCTAAATTGGTAGAAGAAATAACAGTTTAAGGTATGCAGATGACACCATCTTACTGGCAGAAAGCAGCAATAACCTGAGATGACTTTTAGTGAAAGTGAAAGAAGAAAGTGCCAAATCAGGACTGCAGTTCAATATTAAGAAGACCAAAAGAAAACCAGAAGAATTGCACAACATAAATGCTAACAACAAAGAAATAGAAATAGTTAAAGATTTAAAGAGTTATTTTTTAATTAATTAATTAGATTTCTACCCCGCCCATCTAGACCAAAGGTCTACTCTGGCTGGCATTACAAATTTAAAAACAGTTAGACCAATAAATACATACATAAATAAATCCAAGATGGCACAAATATAGAATTTAAGATATGGCAGGAGGGAAAGCCTGCTCAAATAACCAGGTCTTAAGTTTACTTCTGAAGACACCCAGAGAGGGAGCCAAGTGGATCACCATGGGCAAGTTGTTCCAGAGGCAAGGGGCCACTGCTGTAAAGGCCCGTTCTTTCCTTCCAGAACTTTCTCGGCATTAAGCCCCTCAGCTGCCCAGCCTGGCTAGAACGAGTGACTCTGGCAGAAATGGGTGGGAGGAGGCGCTGTGCCATATATTGAGGTCCTAAACCATTTAGGGCTTTATATGTCATCGTTAGGACTCTGAAATCAACACGGAAGCGAATGAGCAGCCAATGCAAGGCGGCTAGAGTGTGGAAATATGGTGGTATATTTTCACCCCTGTAAGAAGTTTTGCCGCCCTATTCTGCACCATCTGGAGTTTCCATGTCAGTCTCAATGGAAGCCCCACGTAGAGTGCATTACAGTAATCTAATCTTGAGACTACAAGTGCATGGACCAAAGTGGTGAGCGCCCCCACATCAAGATAGGGACACAGCTGGGCAATCCACTGAAGATGGAAGTGTGCAGAATGGACCACTGCCGCCACCTGAATTTCCATGGTGAGTGCTGGGTCCAGGTGTACAACCAAACTGTGAACCTCACTCTTGGTGGTAAGAGTCACCCTCCAAAAGAGAGGGAGTTTCCCAAACCACTGATGTCTGGGCCACCCACCTGAAAGACCTCTATCTTGCCCAGGTTCAGCCTCAGTCCATTCTCCTGCATCCATTGCTGCATGGCCCCCAGGCAGTGCTCAAGGGACAAAACAGCATCCACTGTTGTTGGAAAAAAGGAGATGTAGAGCTGAGTATCATCCACATACTGATGACATGAAGCTCCACATCCCGTGATGACCCCTCCCAGTGGCCTCATATAGATGTTAAACAGCATTGAAGAGATGATTGAGCCTTGCGGAACCCCACAATTGAGGGTCCATGGGGCTGAAAAGCTCTCTCCAATCTGCACTCTCTGGGGATGGTCCTCCAAGAAGGAACAGAGCCAGGCAAAAGCCAGGCCACTAATTCCCAACTCAGAGAGCCTCTCCAGGAGGATACTGTGGTTGACCGTATCAAAGGCAGCTGAGATATTGAGGAGGACCAGCAGAGCCATTTTGCCCTGTCAGTCTCCCTCAATAGGTCATCAAACAGGGTGACCAATGCCATTTCCGTGCCATGGTGTGGCCTAAAGCCTGACTGGAATGGATCCAGGGCATTGGTTTCATCCAGAATAGCCTGCAACTGGTTGGTCACCACCCTCTCAACTACCTTGCTGAGGAAAAACATTGGTGACTGGACTATAATTAACAATATTGTCTGTTGCCAAGCTCGGTTTCATCCTAATGGGCCTAATGACTGTCTCCTGGAGGGCAAGGGGGACTTTGTCCTCCTGGAGAGACCCATTAATTATTGCCATGGCCTATTCAGATGTTATAGGCCTGGCTGCTTTGATTAGCCAGGCTGGGCAAGGGTCAAGGGAGGAGGTGGTGGCGTGACAGCAATCAAGCACTCTGTCCACCATATCTGATGTCCCAGGCTGAAAGTGGTTAAGTCTCATCGGGCAAGTGCTGGATGTCTCTACTCAATCCACTGATTTCAAATAGGAGGTAAGATCCCGGCGGATGGCCTCCACTTTTGATTTTAAAAAGGCTGCAAATTGGTCAGGTGAGATGCTAGTGGGAGGCCAGTCAGTATGACCAACTCCGGATAGATCGTGGACTATACGGAAGAGTTTTGCCTGCTGATTGGAAGCTTCGCTTATCCGGTCAGTGATTTGTTCTTGGATTAGTAAAGGTTAGTCGTGATCGTGACAGCTATTTGATTGTTTTCTGCTGGGTTCCACCTTCATATGTGCTCTAGCCTCATCCTATTTCGCTTCATTGATTGCAGCTCCTGGTTAAACCAGGGTGAAGGGCCATCTCTGCGCCGGAGAGGGCATTTAGGTGCGATTGTGTCAGCAGCCCTGGCGGTAATGGCAAGCCAGCTATCAACCAGAGCCTCGACAGGAGTGCCAATCAAATTGGCCGGAATCCCTCTCATGATATCCTGGAATCCTACAGGATCCAATAACCTTCAGGGATGAACTATTAAAACAGGTCCTTGCTCCCCGCAGGGAGGAAGAGCCACTGTAAGGTTGCATTTAATCAGGCGGTGACAAGGGGACAGATACTAGGTCAGTCACCATTGGACCACACTCACTCTGCTCGGTGGAGAACACCAGGTCCAGCGTATGGCCACCCACGTGGGGGGGGGGGACTGTTGATGTTGGATCATGTCCAAGGAGGGCATGGTCTCCAAGAACTCAAGAGCTGGACTGGAAACCTCCACCTCCGCATGTATGCTGAAGTCACCCAAAACCAAAATCCTTGGGCCATTGAGATGAAGTCCGCCAGCTCTGGTAAGGAAATGGCTGGGTCACGGGGAGTGCGGTAACCCAGCAAGATCGTGTACATATTGGTTCAATCTTTAATCCAGACTACAGCCAAGAAATCAGAAGACAGATTTGGAAGGGTAGCAATAAAGGAATTAGAAAATATCCTTAAGTGTAAGGATGTTTTACTGGTGACCAAGACCAAGACCATCCACATTCTTGTAGTCTGCAATGCATCAGTGTGAAAGCTAGGCATTTAAGAACATTGACAAGAAAAAAGAGGGATGATTTGAAATGTGGAGCTAGAAGAGAGCTTTGTAGATAGTGTGGACTGCCAGAAAGATGAACAAGTGGGTCCAAGAACAAATCACGCATGAACTATTGCTGGAGAGGGAAAAAACCATTGAGCTTAAGGTGTCCTACTTTGAGTGCACCATGAGAAGAGAAAATCCCCTGGAAAAGACAATAATGCTGGAAAAGTTTGAAGGCAGCAGGAAAATAAAGATGACTAAATATGAAATTGATTGACTCCATGAAGAAAGATACAGATTTGAGTTTATAAGAGCTAAAAAAGACATTTTAGAGACCTCTTCAATAGCCACCTTCATGAATAGGCTGATTTTATATAAAGATTATTTATTTCTCCCTCAACCCCCAGCATCTTCTTGGGAGAAAAAATGCATAGCCAAATGACAATTTAGAGGCAGTGAATATCATTAATGGAAGATGAGGTAAGTCATATCAATGAATCTAATGACGATGTTTCAGATTTGCTCACCACCTACAGCCACACTTATATTTTTAAAAACTTTTTAATATATGCAGACACATAAGCATCACATTTAAAAATAAAAGTAATCTATATCAAAACAGGAGAATACAAGGGAAGATATTAATGAAGGGTATTGTTCCATAAAAGTGTCTGGGAAGAGGATGGAAAATATTTTGTGTTTTATGATTTCCATATACTTGCACTGCCTCCCAAAGAAATTACATTTTTAGACTTTTCAGTAGCCAAAGTTCTATGGGAGGTTTACTAGTGTATGAAAAATGTAAGATGAGAATATCACAAGAGAAAGTCAATAGCAAGAGGTGGAAACAGTATAGCACAAAGTAACACAACTAGAAAGTTAATTAGCCAAAGTACCCAGTAGGTTTAAATATTTTGTTTAGTCATTAAGTCATGTCTGACTCTTCATGACCCCATGGACCAGAGCATGCCAGACCCTCCTGTCTTTCACTGCCTCCCAAAATTTGGTCAAATTCATGTTGGTAGCTTTGATGACACTGTCCAACCATCTCGTCCTAAATATTAGTCCTCGGTCTACATACAGTGGTGCCTCGCTTAGCGATGTTAATCCATGTAGCAAAAATCGCTGCTATGCGATTTCATCGCTAAGCGATTTTTAAAAGCCCATAGAAACACATTAAAACACGATTAATGCGTTCCTATCGGCTTAAAAACGCAACTTATGCGAAAATCCTCCATAGGGGCAGCCATTTTTGGTGCCTCTAAAGTGAGACAAAACAGGGGGCGGCCATTTTGGAACCACCGATCAGCGCTCCCCCGCGATCATCGCAAAGCAAATTTTCCCCATAGGGGCCATCGCAAAGCGATTGCTCTTGCGATGGCAAAAAGTCCATCGTAAAGCGATTTCGTCGTAAAATGGAGCAATCGCTATGCAAGGCACCACTGTATTAGTTCTTTTAAATCTTGCAAGCTCTAAGCTTAGCGGGTTCTCAGAATGTCAAGAAGAATGGTGCCAAAAAGGGCAGAGACGAGGCCATAGATAAGCATCTCCGTGGATGGATATTCTCAGAGAGCTGAACACCACTTTTAAAAAGTTTATTAAGTAGAATTACTAAGTTTATTAAGCAGAACTATCATTTCAAACCCACTCTTAATCAACCACCCACAGAAATTTGGTTACTTGGGTGTCTAAAAGTATAAGAGCAGCAAGGTGTAGTGGATAATGTCAGAAGAGCCTCGTGCAACAGTGGTTAAACCGCTGTACTGCAGCCAAAACTGTGCTCACGACCTGGGGTTAAATCCCAGGTAGCCGGCTCAAGGTTGACTCAGCCTTCTATCCTTCTGAGGTCAGTAAAATGAGTACCCAGCTCGCTGGGGGGGGGCGGGCAATGTGCAGCCTGCATAATTAACTTGTAAACCTCTCAGAGAGTGCTTGAAGCGCTATGGGGCGGTATATAAGCAGCACGCTTTGTTTTTTTGCTTTGCTTTGACTGGGACCCAGAACATCGGGGCCACTGAAACTCACTGGGGAGCAGCAATGGCAAATCATTTCTTGAACATTTCACATACCTGAAAAATCCTATTAGAATCACCATAGGTTGCAAGCAATTTCACAGCACATTAACAATGAAAAGTATAGTAACTATATGAATACATATTTAATCAACTAGAAGAATATCAATTTCATGCAACAGCACTTGTGAAATGTACTAAATTAGCATACAAATTAGTATACAATGCATACAATATAATGATAACAACAAAGTGCCATCAACTCAGTTCTTACTTAGGTGGCCCTCTTCCAGCGGTTTCTAAGTAAAGAGTTCTTAGACATCCACCATTCCCTTCTGGGGGTGTCTTGGAACTGTGGAGCTTGCCCAAGACTACACTGGTTGGCTTTTCTCTTGAGAGGCACAGTGGGGAATTAAACTCCCATAGCTTCATAGCCAAATACCTAGCTCACAGAGCTATCCAGCCAGCTATTCTGCAGTTTACATAGCCACATAATTATTACTGTTATATAAATTTAAGTGCTGCCAGTTTAACCTACATTTGTTTTAATTTGAATAATAGGGGATATAAACTGACTTTAAAATGTGAATCAGATCAGCCAAGTACTACATATCACTAAGGAATTTGAGTAAAAGAGAGCGCTTAGTATCCCAGTTTTCAAATCTCTTGTCTGTCACAATGAATGCTATACTGAAAGACATATGTCAGGGCAAGAAATCAGCAGACTTCATTCAAGGCAATTACAGAACAAAGAAATAACCTCTTCTTTTGCTAGACAGAAATAGCACTCTGTCTTGTTTAACTAATCACAGACATTTAAGACTCCATGGCATCACCTTACCTGAGGGAACCATTCTGATTCTCCAAGTGCTTTAAGGAACGTTACTTCAGAATCTGCAGGAATACTGCTAGGAATGCAAGCACTCATAAGCTTTTTAAAACTAGCTTTAACTTGCCGGACGTCACTGAACTCAACAGGAACAAATTCACAATTTAAAGCAAAATCAAGCTTGAAGCCCTGTAGATAGAGAAGATATTTACCTGTGTTATTTATTGAACAATTAACCAACCCGTCATATATTTCAAGTACTGTATTGCTTTATTATTGAGAGGCTTCCCTTGTTACTATTCTTTTGGAAGAGTTTTATGTTTCTCTTGGTCTTGTAATAGAGATGTTTAACAAAGTACAATTTATATCTTGTAAAGTGTGTGTATTTTCTTTAATAGCACAGTACAACTGTCTTTGACACTAAGAGCAAAGTAATCTAGGAAGGAGAGTATTCCATGGAATCAGAAACCATGATAAAAGCAGGCTTCCCAGCTGTGCAGAGCTTTGTAACTATGTCAATTTAAGCATAGTTTCAGGTCCTTTCCAAACACTCCTGTTAACACGAGAAGGTCAAGAGCAGAGGGTGCAGCAGAGTTGATGCCAGAATGTGGAGAACATGTGGCTGAATACAAAGTCCATTGGAAGTAATGAAATGTGGATAACGGCATCTTATTTTGGATATTTTGTAATCAATTAATTTTCAAAAGAAAATTCCAATATGATCTTGCTGAATTAGCATTAATACAAATATCTGAGTAAGGGTGTGATTACACAGAGAAATAGATCACATTTTGGAGCACTTGAAGTCTATTTCCCAGTGATCACACAACTTGAACGGAATTTCGCTCCAGCCAGACCCTGCTCTCTGCCCAAACTGGACTTTTTTTGGTTCAGCTGTAGAGTATTACATTTTGGGGCTGGGCTGGAGTGATTCTCATGAGATAGCCAAAGTACTGGAGCCTCAGCTTCAGGATCTGTCATTCCAGTGAGCACTCAGGGTTGATTTCCTGCAAATGGATAGGTTTGTTCTCTTTGCAGTCCAGGGGACTCTCAAAAGTCTCCTCCAGCACCACAATTCAAAAGCTTCAATTCTTTGGCGGACAGCCTTCTTTATGGTCCAGTTCTCACTTCCATATATCACTACTGGAAAAACCATAGCTTTGACTAAGCGGACCTTTGTCAGTGAGGTGATGTCTCTGCTTTTTAAGATGCTGTCTAGGTTTGTCACAGCTTTCCTCCCAAGAAGCAGGGGTCTTTTAATTTTATGGCTGCTGTCCCCATCTGCAGCGATCATGGAGCGCAAGAAAGTAAAATCTGTCACTGCCTCCATATTTTCCCCTTCTATTTCCCAGGAGGTGATGGGACCAGTGGCCATGATCTTAATTTTTTAGATGTTGAGCTTCAGACCATTTGTTTGCACTCTCCTCTTTCACCCTCATTAAGAGGTTCTTTAATTCCTCCTCAGTTTCTGCCATCAGAGCGGTATCATCTGCATATCTGAGGTTGTTGCTTTGCATGTTACTGCCATTTAAACCCACTTTTGTATACAGTAATTGCTTTTTCTTTCACCATTGTGCATATATACTTGTCAACTGTGTATAATATTTGGTGCACCTGGTTTAAAGGGACTCCCATCTAATAATAGATATGTTCAGATTTAATGGATTAAAATAGTCTTGTATTTAAATGCACACATGATCCCTCTGCACAAGTCAGCAAGCAAAACATTTGCATTTTCTCTTGTTGAGAGTCATTGATATATCATCCTGAAAATTATTATTCAGTTTGCAGATGTATTTTGTACTTCAGCACACAGTTATCAGCCGTGAAATCAACAGAATATAAAAAATGCATAAATTTATGTTGCATTACACTAGCAGTATTTATGTATGAATCTTAAACGTTTAATGCAAGTGAGCAAACATTCAAAAGTATATAGGGAAAACAGACGTACCCTTAACTGTGATTTTTCTCCAAAAATGTAGAGGGCTGCTTGTCGCTTCAGAATCCGGTTTTGTAAATATGCATTGCTGCTGGAATATGAGGGTGAACCATCTTTTCCTGCTAATCTTGCACCAACGTCAAGGAATGGCATCTGAGTGCTAATAAACCGACTGCTAGAACGAAGACTTGCCCACACACCTTCATAAAGATTAAAAATGTAACAGAATAGATTATTTGGAATTAGATTATTTTATTAATCTCCAAAGAAGCACAGATGTACAACTATAGAATATTTGTAATATACAATATCTGCATTAATAATGTGTCCAGATGGAAATAATAAATAAAACTACATTTAATACTTAATGCAACAACTTTTCTGCATATCCATTATAGCAGGCAGCTATATTAAGCTATGGTACTCCCTCATACAAAATGGCACTATGAGGTACCTTCTAAGTAAGGTAAATTACTCTATACTGGGGCTGCTACATTGTTTGGGATTGAGGATTCTGGCCTATACATGTCTATAGCCCAAGATAAACAGTTCATCTATGTATTCTGGGCCAAACAGTATTACACTGGAGATGCTGCATCCAATTATAGCCATGCTTAGCAAGATATTTACTCCATTAGTAACAGAGTCATAGCTGCCTGTACAGCACAGCATGCTTGCTTCAGATGTGGATATGCAAACAAAACCTGTTTTCTTGGATAACTAAATGATATTGTCTTTTAACGGTATAAGCTGCCTTAGGTCCTTTTTAAGAAGAAAGGTGGGGTAAAATATTTAAATTAATATAAGAAATAAATTAAGTTACTGCTTAAAGTCATCCTTTGAAATAAAGCAAACTTTATGCAACAGATCAGCTGGGAATTTCCCCCATAATTATTAGTAACAGACATAGCCATTTGCCATCCAAGACTCACAGCACAAATTGATAAAATAAATTTTATTTGGTTTTTAAAAATTAGAAATGCAAGGGAGTCGAGAAGAAGGCACCTCTCCCCAGTGACAAAGCAAGACTTTAAAGCTTGCACCACATAAAAGCAACAGTTAGAGCAAATTTAGAAGCACATGCAGATTGCAGACTGGTAACACTTACCAGTGATGGGTTACAGTGATTTAAAGATGTACTGTATATATATCTACTTTCCAATTTTTGCATTACAATAAAAATAAAAGAAAAAAGTGGCACATGCCATGTTTCCTCTGCTAATCTGAAGATCCCTGTTATGTTTAACCATGAACTATGAAATATGTTAGCAGGAGTGATAACTCCTACTAAAGAGGTAGTAATCTTTCTTTATTCTTTGGCTGTTCAGTAATAAAATTTGGATGAACAAATTGTCGTAACTTTTTTTTGCAATGATGATATGAAAAATGGTTATTCTATTTCAACCATAAACTATATAAACCATTAATGAAGAAATCTTTTACATTAATGTAGAAAACATTCTACATCATACTATAGCAATATTGTTACATTGCAAAAAAATGTGTGCATGTTAACATTGCTCTATGTATACTGATATGCATAATTATGGTGATGGCAGGATGTACTAGTAGTGGAAAGAATACAGTACCTTGATAAACTCTTCCTGATTTGGAATTTGAATGTGTGAAACATTTATCTCTGTACCCAAGCACTGGCAGATAGGAGTAAGGACAGGAGGAAAAGGAGGAGCAGTGGGATGCACATTGCAATGAGACAGACCAAATTGAACAAGAGAGAAGAAAAAGGTTACTTGTACATTTCTATTTACTGGATTAAAGCAAAAAACTGTCTATTATTTACATTTTAACAACCAATGCCAAGGAATTACAAGCATTTGTAAATGAAATTGAAAGGGAAAAAAGCGCTGCATTATAATAAACTATTGAACTGGATAATGTTCATGGCTTCTGTAGTACGTAATTGCCAACATGCAAAACAGCCAAGATGATGGGCCACTGTATTATACCAAATGGACACTTGTTCACTGTGAAAAACATATTTCACTATGGGTACAACTTGTCAGTAAAAAAATGTTTAGCACTGCTTATTTCTATTATTCCTTTTTATATGGGCAGAAGCAAAAAATTAAGGTAAAGGGTCATATAGGTTTATCTAAATAGATCTGCACATCTAACTCACCATGAAAAGCAAGTGTCATTTACAGTCAGATTATTAGCATGTGTAATCTTGTTTTGGGTGTGCCTGTCCCTTACGCATTGTGTGCTGGAGGAGGCAAGGTCTTGCGTCATAAAATTCCTTAAGCCATTTGGTATAATGGAAATGTAGTTTTAAACAGAAAACCACAGTAACAATGTCTCCTGCTTAAAGAAATAGTATTTCACTCTGATTTTTAGACCCATCTAGTAATTTATACATAGCAGGGAATCATTATTCCTGTGGAAACATTCTATTCCACTAACATTACCACTTAATAAATATTTAGATGGCTGGAGGATAAGCTGGATGCAAAATGTTGTTTCATATATCTGATTAAGTACCATACCACATGTCAACCAAATAAAACAAAACTACATCAACTACCGTGTTCATATTCCTGCAAAAGGCAACTATATGGTCATCTTGTTGATGGGCATCATGAACTATTGCCAGTGCGACTGCTTGTGGAGGATTCTCACTTTCATTTGAAATATTCATTCTGGTCCCCATAATTACGAATATAAGGTTTAAAGCAGGGGTGTCCAACCTTTCACCTTCCCTGGGCCACATTAGAAGATGAAAATTTGGTTTGGGCCGCACATACATTTGGTTTGGGCCACGGGGGGGGCGCCCTAGCTGTCCTCTGCAGCTCCGCTCCAAGCACGCTTACCGGCAGCTGTGATCTCAGACAGCAGAGGCTGCCAGCTTCGACTCCGGCGGCTTTATGGGGCCGGGAGGGGGTCCACCTATTGACGGGGACAGTACAATGCAGTCACACAGCCCCCCTGTCCCCTCCCCTCCCACTACTTCCTTCCCTCTCTCCCCCTCTACAGTAGTGACATGTCCCGGCCGGCCACATGCCGGCCGCAAGCGCCAGCAGTGTAACTTGAAACTTTGGAATTTCTTTAAAAATAAAAAATTGCACTGGGCCGCATTACGAGCTGACCTGGGCCGCATGTTTATTAAAGAGACTGAGTTGAGAACATTCCATATGAGCTCTTCAATGGCTAAGGTAAGGGATTTTCTTGCAGTATTTACATCATTACACAGTGCATGTAAAAGAAAATGGATCACATTGATAAAATTGAGATAGCTGCCATCACTTCTGTTGAAGTTGGTAGTTTAAATGCAGTTAATTGCAATTAATGTTCTGTTAAAGCCAATAATATTGGCATATTTATGTAATAGTCTTCACCTGATTCTAACAGATTGTAAACATTTTGCTTTCCAGACTAGCTTTTATTTTATTTATTATTATTATTTTTGTTTGCAGTATATCAAGTTTGGAATATGGTTATATGGAAAACAACACAGTATGATCAGGGAACAGACATGTACTTCTCAATGAAATAAATTAATATTCATGGCTCATGAATACTCTGAAATGTTGGACATATCCTAGAAGGTAGGAAATCAAAGTTGGCAATACTATTGAGAGGTTTCCAAATTGAACGCCTGTACAGTATCTATTACTTTCTTAAACTCTCACTCAGTAGAAGAATATTCCTCCATTATAATTTTTGCACTGCATTTTGGAAGTTAAATGTGGCTATATGGCAAGAGGGAAAGAAGTATGAATCGGTATTCTCCAATTCAGGTGTCATTCTAATTACTGTTACTACCTGATCGGACCAACATATCTGACAGAAATGTCTGGTGGTCCTTGATCTGACAATTACTTCCTTCCATCGGAGTGGGAGGCAGTTGCCTGGCCAGATCTTCCCTACTGCCTGTTGGGCAGCCTGAAGACACCTGCTGCTCACAGCAAAAAGGCATATGGATAGCCTCTTGGTGACATTCTGGCAATTGGGGAGGAGGAGAGGGAAAAATAACTGTTCAGATATTAGCCAAAATATGCAAATCAACCTCAGCTGGGGTATTTCCCACAAGAAAATTTCCCTTGTGCCAGCGCAGCACAATACTTCCATATCACATACACCCTTTGTATTATCTCTTAAATCCAAGCAATGCAGTAATAGGTCTTTCTTATGACAAGAGCAAACATATGTATCCATGCAGTCATAAAATGCTGCAACCTTTCTTTTTGTGTGTGTCAATTTAAACTATTATAGTATTCTTACAGCCCACCTGATACAATTAGTTACACTGCATTCAACAGATTAACCTGTCTACATTGAAGAACTGTGGCTTAACTGGGATGTACCATTTGACGTGTAGTTGCTTTTCCAATTCAGCACTTTCCAAATTTTCTACAAGTTATAACCAGTTAGCAAGTATTACAGAATTCTCCTATTCTAACACCTTTGGTTTTACTGTGTTTTTGAAGCTAGTTCTATTAGTTTCCAACCTCTTTTGTTGCTATATTATGATTTCCCAAAGTAAACTGGATGGACAGAAGTTAATATTTATGTTAAAGTGGCATATATCTCAGATTAATTAAAGATTGAACAAGCATACTTCTATAGCTTTTATAGGCTTCTCAAAATATAAAGAAATGTGTTGCTCTCACTTAAGAACTTTACAATTGCACAGCCCTTAGCCTATTGTGTAACTAGTATATGATATGTACTTCGAAGTGGTGTTCAGGACAGTGAGGGTTGGATGACTGAAGTTCATTATTGTCATGTTATCATTCTAACATGGGACAGTAATTTTCATGTCAATATTACAACCTTCACATCTATCTTTATCCTATAGATAATTAAGACTATGGGCATGCACCCTGTCAAGGTTTATGTTCCAGCTAGTTTACAGAAGAATGAATAGCTACAGTGGGCTGAAGCCCTCTAGCTTTAGTGATCACAGGTATTTTGTAAAGGAAAAAAAAACTCCCACTGTCCTAGTATTGTCTATGCATAACAATGGGCCATGCATGCCTGTGTACATATTTACATAGTCCAATCAGCTTGTCAGACTGTTGCTGCATAAGGGGGTCTGACTCCAGTAAATTCCCACCCAGAACACATTACTGGCAGCATTCACCATCTCCGTAAAGTCTGCACAGTTTCTTATGCACATAATCCTCAGTGCTGAATGCAAATATCCAGTCACAGGAACCACGTGCATACTCATCAGTACAAGCAGTTTCTGCTCAAGTGTAGATATGCCTGTTTCTATGTATAGATTGGTCAGACTTTAAGGGGCTGGCAGCAAACTGGTATTCACATGGTGTATCATGATAAACTGAAGCATAATGGGAGAACTGCCCCTCAAATGTTATCTTTTTTTCATATTACAACCATGTGTACACTTTGAACTAGTCTTACTAACCTCCTCGGGCAAAGCTATTGGATAGATTTACATCCAAATGTCCTGGCACTACCTGCTTAAACACAGTGGACATTCTTGAAGCCCTCCTTTCAGTGCCTAAAGTCAGTCAAAAAGAATGAAGAGATTAAAAGTACAATATCATTCAAGCTGACATTTCCTAAATGTTATCTTGATCCAAAGTCTCAAAATGTATATATTTGTTACATAACATCAAAATGTTCTTTTGATGCTTCATGTATCTTAATTGCTGCCAGTTTTCCACATTTAAACAACATTACACATAAGGTTAGGCAATCAAAGTATTTAACAACGAATGAAGCAAAGCATGCACAATTTGGTGATGGTGTTATGTTATGAGAAAAGCCAGAATTTAGATACACTTGATTTTGCCAACTGATTAAGCCAAATGGACAAACTTGGCAAGTTGCATGCTCTTGTGTCTAAGATAGCAACTTTACCTTTGTATGAACCCTATCAGGTTTCACCACATGACAACTGAAATAGAATATTAATGAATATCTTAATGGTTTCATCGAGACCTACCCACCAGCACCACAGCATATTATACTTTAACTTTTTTGGTTAAAATATATATATAGATATGCTTGCAATGGCTTATTTAAAAAAAAACACTAATTCTACATAAATCTCTCAGAAGTCCACCTCTGTGGAATGGAATTTCACTAGTTAGAAATTTTAACTTCTAATAATTTGACATTTGAAATCTGCTAAAACTGAAAAATCCATTTACAAAAGCCCAGAGAAAGATTAGCTACTTGGAAGGTGAACCATTGAGGCAATGGGACACTGGAAGAATAATTAAATTAAACTGGGATGAAGATTTACAAAATTCAGTCACATAGGTCTTACATTTTAACACATCTATACAAATACATAATATTACCTGGAGACAAAGCAATAGTTGGCCTGATGGTAAGCGTACTATTGCCATTCATTTTGCAATGGACAGAAATTGCATTCAGTAAGGCTTGAAGGTATTTTTCTTGTTCTATGCTGCTTGATGATTCTAGTGATGCAGGAGCTATGCAAACAAATGCAGAGAACAGATTACACTTCCTATTTAAGCAACCTAATTTCACTCAGAGTGGAAACAGTATTTGTATGGACTTATTTAGACATATGAACTGTACATTCCTTCAATTGGATTCCCAGTGTCATGTAGTGAATAGAATGATGGACTAGGACTCATGAGACCTAAGCTCAAATTCCCACTTGGCCATGGAAACTCACTACGGGAGTGGCATTGGTAAAACCACTCATGTAAACATATCATCTCATGTACCTACCAGGATTGCTATAAGTCAGTGATAGCACATAACAAAAATATTGAGGAAAAGGATAATCAATCTGTCATAATAAAATTAAAACCTAAATAAAAACTATGGAATATTAATCTCTATTCTACCTCCAGTTAGCATCAGAAAGTACAAATGTTTATGACCACAAGAATAATAACAATGCAATGGTGGACTGTATATCCAGAGTTCTTCTCCCTTATGATCAGATGTCTCTCAGTTAGTAAAGAGCTTCCAAGGGAGAAGATAGGAACTTCAGATAGAATGAAGCCCAGTCACATTTCAGCTAAGCATGTTTAGAGGATACAAGCCTTATTCAGTTGCACCTTAGGTCTGTGTAACAAATATGTGAGGGAAGAGAGTATGCTAGCCTCACACTCTTCCGTGTCGGTTTTATCACCTTGAGCATGGACAGTCATCCCTTCCAAACTTAGAGGGTGACAGAAATGAGGAATCAGGTAGCATGTTTTCCCCTGTTTATTATGTATGCTTAATGAATGCCTGAATAGAGATGAAGTGAAAAAAGAGGTTACCTAGCTGTAACTCTGGTTCTTTGAGTGGTCATCTGTGAATTCACACTAATGGGTTAATCTGCGCTTGCGTGGAGCAGCCTCGGAACTTTCTAGCTCGAGCACATGGTGCCGGGACCTCCCCCACGCTGGCTATAACTCTGGCATTGAGTGCCTCAGTTCCATGGAGCTGACCACCGTTGCACAGCATGCAATGGCACACATGATGGACAGCGTGGAGTGTGAATTCACAGTTGACCACTTGAAGAACCAGAGTTACAGCTAGGTAACCTCTTTTTCTTCTTCATGGTCTCTGTGAATGCACCCTTACCAGAGTTACAGCTAGGTAACCTCTTTTTCTTCTTCATGGTCTCTGTGAATGCACACTTATGGGTGATTAGCAAGCTCACTTACTTGGAGGAGGGATGAAAGCACAGCAGCCAGGACAGCGCGACCCACTGCAGCCTCAGCCTCAGCCCGGATATCAAGGCAGTAATGGGAGACAAAGGTAGATGGAGTGGCCCATGTGGCAGTTCGGCAGATGTCAACAACGTCCACCCCACGAAGAAAGGCCAATGAGGATGCTACAGCTCTCATAGAGTGAGTTCTGACTTGGCCTGGAAGAGAAGTCTCAGCTAAACCATGGGCAAGGCAGATGGTCTGGACTATCCATCTTGAGATGGTCTGAGAGGAAGCTGGTGCTCCCATAGAGGGGACAGCGGAGGTTACAAAGAGTCATTGTGTCGTACAGAAAGTGGCCGTGCGGTGAATATAATATGAGAGCGCTCTCTTGACATCAAGGAAGTGCAGAGCCTTTTCAATTGGGGAGGTTGGGGAGGAAAAGAAAGCAGGAAGCACAATTGGTTGATTCAAGTTCAAAGAAGATGAAACCTTGGGGAGAAAGGTAAGGTCCGGATGCAGAGCCACCTTGTCTGGGGAAACTGCAGGAATGGAGGGTCTTGCCTTTAATGCAGCTAGTTCTCCAGCCCTCTGTGGTGAGGTTATTACCAGGAGGAATACAGTTTTGAAGGATAATAAGCGGAACTAAGCAGAAGGGAGGGCTCATGAGTTGTTGAAGAACTAGATGGAGCGACCACTGTGATGTTAGGGATTTGTAGGCAGGGCACATATTTTTCAGCCCTTGTAGGAACTGCTTCAAGGTAGGATGTCGAAAGAGCATGGCTGCTTGCGAAGATGGAGGTGGGGGGCTATAATGGCAGCTGTGTAGACCTTCAAGGTGGAATGCAAGAGCCCTCATAGAAATAGGTGGAGGAGAAAGTGAAGAAGTGCATTGAGAGATGTTGGGCTGGAAGTTAAGTGGTGTGTTGATGCAAATCTGCAGAACGTATTCCATTTATAGGAGTAGGTCAAAGAGGTTGAGGGCTTGCAGGCATGGTTGAGCACATCTGCTACAGTTGGGGAACTCTCCAGGCTGTTAGGTGGAGGGATTCGAGATGCGGATGAAAAATCCATTCTTCGTCCCAAGATAGTAGCTGAGGGACCATCTTCAGCCTGATGTATTCTGAGGCTCTGGAGAGTAGAATCGAGAACCATGGCTGATGAGGCCAAGGGGCTATAAGGATCACGGGTGGGAACATGTAAAGGAGGCCAGATGACCAATGCATCAGAAATGCATCCCCTAGGGACTGGCGGCCGACGCCGGCTCGTGAGCAATACCTGGTACATTTCCTGTTGGCTTGGGATGCAAAAACATCTACTTCTGGAGTTCCCCATTGGCAGCAGAGGTGGTGGAAAGCTGGCATCCGCAGTGATCTGGACCATAAGAGTCAAGAGGCCAAAAGGTCTTCCTACCAGCAAATTGGAAGGGAATCTCCACCAATCGAGCTGTGCAGCAAGCTCTGGCGTAGCCTGTAGCAGTGTGGATGGGTGGTCGTGAGTCATCGAGAAGAGTGACAGGAACCAGGCCTGAAGAGATTGCATCTTCAGCCGTGTGTGTTGCACCACAGCCGTGGTGGAGGCCATCAACCCCAAGAGTCACTGGGCCATGAGGGCGGGGATCCATGCACCTGAGGAGAAGGAGCATAATACAGATTCCATCTTCAAAATTCTATTTTCGGGGAGAAAGGCTCGACCCAAGGAGGCATCCAAAGTAGCTCCTATATAATTGGCACATTGGGTAGGGTTCAAAGTGGACTTCTCTATGTTGACTCTCAGTCCTAATGTTGACAAGAGGAAAAGTGTTAAGTTTGTGTATCTACGAGCTTGTGATTTGGACTCAGCTACGAGGAGCCAGTCATCCAAATATGGGTAAACTGTGACTCCCAAAAGATATAAGTGAGCCACCACCAGAGAGCTAGACACTTAGTGACCACCCTGGGTGCAGCGGACAAACCAAAGGGGAGGGCTTTAAACTTATAGGTTCTGCCTCCTACTGAGAACCTCAGGAAATGCCAGTGATCTGACCTGATGCTAATGTGGAAATAAGCATCCTTGAGGTCAATCGCCGTGAACCAATCCCTGTGACATAACATGTGGATAACATAATCCAGGGAAACCATATAAAATCTATGAGGAGTAATGAAAGAGTTCAGGTTGTGAAGATCAAAAATTGGATGGAGGCCTCTATCCTTCTTGGGGATGGTAAAATACTCTGAATAGAAACCTACTGAAACATCAGAGAGATGCAAATGAATAATAGCATCTTTCTCCAGCACGGCCTGAATTTCATTTTCCAAAGGGGGTGTGGACTTGAAATGGCCTGTGATGGGGGGAGTATCAAATTCTATTGCATAGCCAATGGCTATGATAGATAACACCCAAGAGCCAGATGTGATGGGACACCAGGAGTACAAGAAAGGGGCCAAATGGACTGACAGGTCAGCAATAGAGAAGTCGTAAGCATTAAAGAGACTGCTTGTTTTTGCAGTCGTTGGTGGTTTTGCTGGCAGGGGCATTGCCTACCCACTTGCCTAGGAGGTGCAGGTTGGTAACCTTGAGCCTGAGGCCTCTGATGATCTTGATACCCCCTAAGTTGGCAAGAACGCCTCCAGGTGCCTCTCGGATGAGACTGCTGCGCAAAGTAGGACCGCGCCGTCTTCCAGAGCTTGAGAAGGTTGTCAAGTATTTAATCTGTCTTTTCATCGAAAAGTCCTGCTCGATCAAATGGCAGGTCCTCTATCCGTGCCCTGGCATCTTCTGAAATGCCAGCAGAGCAAAGCCAAGCATGATGGCGAAGACAGATGGCAGTGGCCAACTGCTTGGAAGCCACTTCTAAAATATGGTGGGTGGCAATGCACTCATGTCTTGCAAGCCCCATGGCCTCCTGATGATATGAGATACCCTGGGCTCTAACATCCTCAGGAGCTGCTTCCAGAATGGGCAGTGCCAAATTCCATAAACGGCAGTGGTAAGTGCCCATGGTAGCTGAATAGTTGGCCACCCTGAGGACAAAAGAGGCTAGAGAGTACATCTGCGGCCCAGGACATCCAAATTGTGTCCTTCTTTGTCAGAAGGAGAAGTAGCAGAACGATTCCGGCCCTGTTTTGTGTGCTATCAACAACAAAAGAATCTGGAAGAGCGTGCTTTAATGGGGAGTCCGTATCAGCCCCATATACTTTATACAGATCCTCGATCTTCCTCGGAATCTGATAGGAAGTGGAAGGTTTAAGCCATAACTCTCTCATGAGTTCAGAGAGGGATGGTATGAATCCGAGGTGTATTGGAGGATTCTGTTCCTGAGTAATGTCTTCATATACCTTATCTCTTTTCTTAACTGCAGGCACCTCGACGTCAAGCTCGAGGACCTTTGCTATTCGGTGAATGAGATGGAAGTAAGAGGAGTAATTCTCTGATGGCGACGGAGGATGATTGTCTACCATATCCAACACAGGAGTAGGAATATTAGTTGGTGAGTTTAGTTGTCTCCCTCTGACAGCAGAGGTCAGCGGCAGGTGCCTCTTGCGAGGTCGAGGAATATAGCCTTCTTCAGCCTCAAGCGCAATATCGCGCCATCCATGATACTGAGGTGAAGTCGGCAAAAACAGCTGAGCATAGGGTTCGAAGTGTCAATACTGTGGGTAAGGTTCATATCAATAGGGTCCTGGATGAAAAGGCAGGTCCCATTCAAAGTCCTCCACCCTGTACACTAGCAGGCACTCAAGATAATGCCATCAGCCTCGACGAGCAGGGTACTCCCTTGGCTCCAACTATCTGGGTCTGGTTGCTCAGGTGGCTCCAGGATTTATGGGTTCTCTTATGAAGATCCTCAGTTGGAGCCGGCAGCAGTGGTGAAGCCACAGGTTGCTGCTTCAACGAGCCCAACAAAGAACGTGCACTGGTCAGTGCCAATTCAGCAACCTCTGGAGAGGTGTTCCCCAGTCAGGAAAATCACTGATGGAAGGGGATGGCAGTGGCAGCTGTAGGGGTACATCCTCTTCCCCCCAAGGGTACACTCAGGCTTACCGAATATTGCCGGGATATCTCCGGACTCAGTGCTGAGACTTCTACAGCTTTAGCAGGCTTAGGTGTTTTCTTCTTCTTCCTCAAACTCGATGTCTAAGATTGAAAAGGTGTCGATGCCGTGGCTGTCAACATCAAGCCCAAGGATGATTTTGGATTGGCCGCATTTTTTACCGCCTTTTGGGCCGTAACCTCTTGTGAAGCTGCCGGAGATGGTTGCAAAGCCTTGGAAGAATCCATAGAGGCATTTTGAGATGGTGAAAGGGATTTCTCCCAAAGATATGATTTAAGGCATTGGAGCCGCAACTTCAGAGCCAGCTTCGTAAAGTTCTTGCAAAAGGTGCATGCGGCCGGCTGATATTCTTCCCTGAGGCAAAATAAACAACAGGAATGTCGGTTGGAGAGGGGAATTTTATTTGAGCAGACCTCATACCTCTTGAAGAGGCCTGGCAAATCCATAAACTCAAAGTAAGCAATACAACAATTAGTCTATTTTTTCTTTTTGCAGATAACTCACAGTTGCGAAGCAAGGTCAATGGTCTGGAATCAACTCAGGGGGAGGTAAGATTGACTGTTTGATTGAGCGCACGAAGTTCCAAACGAAGCTGCATCAGCAGTGGTCGAAAAAGAATTGAGGCACTTGGTGCCGGGGGCGGAGTTATAGCCAGCATGGGGGAGGTCCCGGCACCATGTGCTCGAGCTAGAAAGTTCTGAGGCTGCTCCACGCAAGCGTGGATTATCCCATTAGTGTGCATTCAAAGAGATCATGAAGAAGAAGGGGGAAAGGATAGAGATGGATATGGGAGATCAGAATGCTCCAACTCTTATAGGTATTGTCCAGATCTTCCATACATCTACATTCCTTAAGTTATAACCCACAAACTGAATCCATGTTTATGGTGCATCCCATATAGATGTTTTCATAAAAGCTATTATATCAATGTTTCAAGGCATAATTCATGAAAAACAAGATCTCATGTTCGCACAATTTCTTCTCTGTGTGATTACTGAAGAATGGCAGCAGCTTCACTGGACGGCCAAAATAGGAAACTGGATGTGCAAAAGTAGAGTTTTATGTTTGAGTTTTCCTAGACTGTGAAGAGAATAGGACAGTCTCTATTTGCACACAGTTCTGTTTATGTAACCACTGAACTCTGGAATGCACACAATGTTCTTTTCATACTGATGGCTTGCTGTTAGGGCAAGTTCAAAGTACCACCTCTGTGGCTATGTTTTATTTTTCCAAATTGCACAACTCTTGTTGATAAATATAAAGAAGAATGTAACTTATTATTTTCAAATACTGAAAGTAGATATCTGCAAACAGTGATGGTTTGCAAATTATTTGCCAAGCCATTCAGATTCATTTACTGTGTAGCTATATTTTGGTCACAAATTCGTGCTAAGTAGCATGTCATTCATAGGATTATGCAGAAGCATTTTAGCCATGAAAGTCTATCCTCAGCATGAACTCTTTGAATGATTCACTGGTTATGTAACTTGTGTATAACTATGAATTATTCTATAATGCAAGTTGTTCAGGCAGGCCAGCAGCACTCACTTTCACCACAGGAATATAGAAAAAACCTGCTTCCCCTCCTTCCCCTTTAAGACGAATTTTGGGATTCATCTATACTTTGGCTCTGTGTCACAGAAATGCTGAACAGGATGTGTGTACCCTAGAGGAATGCAAGATGAGTATTCTAGTGAACAAGAAAAAAAGGAAGCAGTAGTCTCATTTAGCTGAGTTACATTTCTGTTTCATGGAACATCCAGATAATGTCATGATTTCACTGTATAGAATGGGAAATACACAGAAATCTGCTATGCATCTTGGGCTCACTGCTTTTCTCTTGTTTGATATTAGTTGTAAGAACATGGCATTTGTCATATTAGGAAAGGCTAATGTGCTCCAGTACCTTCCTTCTAATGGTTGTTTTATATGACATTTCAGAAGACTGTGCATGTGAAGAAACAGGACATAAACATAGTTCAACATTTATTCTATGATGCTACTTGGTACTTTTATTCCAAGAATCATATCTTTTTTTTTCAACACAGGATGTATGTGTCCTGCAGCTTTTCAGGAAGAAGCAGTGAAAAAACATGTCAGAGTCTAAGTATGTTAGATTTTAATTTGTATGAATTGACATCCACTGATGTGATATTTAAGATATTATCTTTGAAGGACTAGAGCTAGCGACTAATTAAACTTATAAAAAAGTATCATTCAGGTGAAGAAGCACACCCTCACCTGATGTTTGTGCATTTGGAGTTTTGAAAAGGCCAACCACTCCTTTTCCATGGAAGCCACCTGCTCGAAGCAGAAGGGTACTCGTTTTTGAGTTTTTCCAGCAGACCACTGGTAGGCGATTGTGTCTGTAACAGCGAGCTACTCTCTGCAAGCTGCTGTCTGGTACACACTGAGGTACCACTAGTAGTCCTGGATAGCTACAGCAATGGAAAAGGGGAAAATAATTAGATTCCTCAGGCAAACAAACTGCAGTAGGCTGAAAGGAAAAGCAGGTGTGACGTGGGAATGATCCTCCTGTAGCACTAATAACAGGTACACTTTCAGAATGACACTGAAATAAAGGGGAGCCATGTGGTCAATACAAAATAAAATACAAATGCAAGTGTATGCATGCAAAACATCTGAAATATCTGAGAACTGAGAGGCTTGTAAAAAACTTTGTTCTCCTGCACCCCCTGCATTTGCCATCAATAGCCAAAGGCGTGAGTTATACCAGATGTGGCAGCAGCCTGATAAAAATATTCAGTCTATCTGATGACAGACTAGAAACTAGCAGCTCTGACATCTATTTCTAGGATGTACTGCCATCCAATGAGATATCCACAGGCAGAACTTTGGAATGGGAACTGCTGGAGCATCTGAGGTTGGTACTGTACTGTACCTTTGTGCCTCTCTAATAGCAGTATTAACATGCTGGACTGTTAAAACATGTTACAACCAATCTCAAAAGCTTTGGTTAGTAGGTGAGGTATAAATACTACAATCCAACCAACCAGCCAACCCTGTAAAATCATGTTGGCCAAATATTGAATTGTTCGTCTTGGCATCACCCACTCGGATCTTTTCTTCTCAGTCTCTCTTTGCAATTGCAATTGCAATTACAGGATTAAAGCAAAGCATCTGAAAAAACTGCATAATTTTATCCATTTCATAATTAAATTGAACAAAGTTTTCTGCTACTTTATCTCTTCAGGATTGTGGTTGTAAAACTATTTTGTGATATTTAATGCTATTTATTATTATATTCAGCATAAAAAGAGGCGTATCATCTGTGGGAAGCAAGATTATCCCTATGTAATTCATTTATGGTAACACCAAAAGAAAGGAACCAGAGTCTTTCTTGATACATTTTACAGAGAGGATGTTGCTGCCATCACCAGAACTTCTGTTTTCTGGCAGGTGGAACAACATACCCTTCCCTATTATGTCACACTAAAAAGGGGGAGCTTTTGCCCTCAAGCCACAGAAGAAAATGGAACCAAAGGATAAAGAAGAGGAGAAAAAGGCAACAATGGCAATGAGGTTAATGCTCCACTTAGCACATCACTAGAAGAAACAAAAGAGGTGAAGCCAGATGCATAACACTCTAGTTGCTTCCAGAACCTGGCTCTCCATGGAGTTAAGGCACGGGAGAGAGATGACCAAGAAAGCCACATGTGTTTCAGGACAGGCAGTTTTCTAGCTCATTCCTCCCACAAGTGCCTTGGCTCTAAGGATCCTTTCAAGCTAGAAATGACTGGAATTGCCAGCTCTGGAGAGTTGCCTAAAGCAGCAACTCTCCAGAGTGACATGGGCACTTGCAGTGGAAGGAATGCCGAATTTGCTGTATCTCTGAAACTGCACCTCATAAGGCAATTGCTTCACAAAGTCACATAGTAGTACTGAAATTCCTTCCTGAAGGAGTTTCACCAAAAAAGAGAGATTTCCCTTTGTACATTAAATAGTTACTCACTATTTTGCTTACTTGATATTCAGCATTCCTTAATTTTGGCTGATTTTTCTATTCTGAGCCAAAAATTGTGATTGCCAAGAACTGTGTCTCTTTCCCAGTCACATTGGCAGCTGCAGGGCAGAGATATTTGGAGCACCTTTAATCAGCAGTGGCCAAGCAATTACCTTACTTTCTCCCAACATCTTCTGACTATGGCCAGAAAACGTGACAGAGATTACTCAGCTGGCCAATCAGATAGCTGCCAAACACCCCTAGACATTTTCTCAGCTTTGGAGTTGGTGAGAGGCTGTGTTCAACACGTAAGTGCCATAATCATCAGAGTGAGGTTACTTTATTGCTTGCCAACATATTCAACACAGCAAATGAAAATGTACAGACTTAATATCCTAATCATTCTACTACTATCCTCTTACTATCCTATTCATTCATAGTACAAGCTTTAACAATTTATTAGATAAAAATATTAGCTAAGCACTGCAATTAGACCATTTTAGACTTTATATTTAATGTCCACACATCGGCATGCATGCTTATCAAAATGGTAATGTAAAGCCCTATTGGGTTTCACAGCCCTTCTATTCAGTCTGTTGAGTGGGCCCTGTCAGCACGCCATATTAGCTTAAATGGCACACTCAGGTTCATATGAAAATACTAAGATGTTTACCACAGCAACACAGAAAGAAACAGCATGTACATTTCATACTGGCCCCAGACTGATTGTTTATAGACACTTACTTTTTATGAGCAAGAATGTTTAGTTGCTTAGAATTAACACACTAAACACTGCCAGTATTTTGGCTCTGACATGTAACCAACTCTGGATTACATCAAAACCCATTTAAACAGATCTGAAACTATACTATGCAAACTGCTAGTTATATAATGTATCTTGTTTTAAAGCCAGTTTGCTAAAAGATTCCCCTGTTTTCCCCACAAATGAAAAAGATGTCAGACACTTGGAATATGGTTTTTTAACTACATAGTTCTGGATAAAATAGTTTAGTGTCATTTACAGAAAATCTAAAGAGGCACATTTCATATATTTCTGAAAAATTCTGGCTTTTAGAAATTCAAATATGATCTTATACATGAAACACAGGTCAAAACCAACATAAGGGGAGTTCTGAACAGTAACTTTACTGAACTGGCTGAAACATTTTCTTCATATTCTCTTCCTAAATGCTATCATAAAACGGTATGGCTGTACTGGAGAAATGTTTTGCCTAGAATGCCTTATACACAAAATAATGTAAGCAGCTACTAAGAGAGTGTGAGGGTTCGTTATCGAGGGGGTCAGTCACTTTCAATAAAGACCGAGACGTGGTGAATTTTCCAACCAGTTCTTCATTTATTCGAACATCAACATCAACTGGAATGTTATGTGTAACAACTTTCAGAGTCTCTTGTTCCCCCAAACCGGGGCGCAAGGGTGTCCATAAACTTCCAACAAAGGGGTTACTGTCCTCCATACTCCAAGGTCCAGTTAAACCTTTCACTGGGACCTGGGTTTCCGGAAGTTCTTCTTCTGGAAGAATTAGGGGAAGGGTCACCTCGTCGCCGCTCCACCCCCATAAGGATGAGCCTTCTCCGGGATCTGCCAACCATGGCCTGGGTAGACCCCCATCTTCTGCAACTCCGCCAAATGCCATGCTTTCTTCCGTTCAATCTCCTTAGCTACTGCCTCCCTCTCTTCCCTCAATTTGCGTCTCCCCTCCTTCGCCTCCGTTTCTCCCCAATATGAGGGACGAGGTTTCAAACCTTGTTTCCTCCATCTCTCAGCCTCATCATGGGGTACCCGCATCTGCTCCCATCTTCCAGTCCATGGATCTTGCAACCCGATCCATTCCCAACCTCCTGGGATCTCCTCGCATTTTTCTTTTATATCCCCGGCTGCCGCCTCTATCTCCTCCTTCCTCCTTCCCGTCAAATCTGTCTACCGCCCCGAAGACAAAGTTAACCCCTTCACGGTCTGTACCAGGTCACTGGTGTCTATACCCACATCTCTTAACCCCCTATCTTCCTGCACCTCCCCCAGCTCGCGGGTGTCCACCTGCTTGTCTTCACGATGGGGTGGTGAAGGAGGGGGAGAGGTTTGGGTTTTTTGGGTCTGCGACGGGAGTGACGGCACTCCTACATAGGCCTCCTGCTGGGGGGCCTCACAGAGAGATTTTCTTTTTTGACCTGAATGAAACCATAGTTAGGATTCCAGTAAGAGCCAGGATACTGAAAAATGGAAGAGGCAAATACTGGTGAAAATCAATGTGGGAGTCACCCACCTTCCTCCACCCAATGCACAGTCTGACCTGTGTTATGCTATAGAAAGCTCTGAAAGAAAGAAATACAGGGCTTTGGGACAGAAGGAGCTGTATGCTGTATGCGTCTACATGCAGATGGTTACATTTTCATCCCCCCTTCCTACTTTCTTTAGTTGTGTAGCTAGCACTGTATTCATATGTTCATTTATTCATAAGGGATGCGGAGGGCTTTATTCATGCGAGAAACAGCCAACATACTAATAGCTTCTGGCTCTATTGGATTCGGTATTAGAAGGATTATGATTGTCCACATTTGGTCCATAATTTAAAATGCAACAAATAACAGGAAAAATAGTTAAGACACAATTCCCCAACAGTAGGCATTTTTTTCTGCATGACAAACAACAGATATGACTTTGGCTTTGGAGTTTTGTTAATTTTTATTCACAGCTGAAACAAAATTCATGAAGAAGGGACATGCGAAGTAAAATGCTAGAAGTTAAGAATGTTGGAAGGAAAATGATTGGTGGAATTGGATGCATCTCCCAGGCAAGATGTAGTAACATAGAAACATAAGGAAAGACCATGAGAGTAGAAAACCCCAGAGAAACAGGGAAGACAAATATCATTCACTCTTGCTTTCAAGGACCTAATCCCATAAATAGAGTAGTTCCAAATGATATCAAAAATAAGTAATGCAGGCAGGGCTATTCCATCTCTTTTGCTAGGGAAGCAGCTCTAATGTAGTAGTCAATGCTTGCTTGTTTTCCTCCTCTCTCCCTACCCATTACTCGAGATATGCTAGGTCTTTTAGAATATAAGCCTTAAAGCAAAAACTGTCATACCAGTGGTCCTTGTAAGCCTCTGTGGGAGCTTTTAATCATTATGACAATTCAGGTGGTTTACCTTTTGCAACCCCTTCACAGATTGCTGCCTTGTCGTGGTGAAGGGGCTTGAGTAATTCAGAGAAGCTATGGGCTATGCCATGCAGGGACACCCAAGATGGATAGGTCATAGTGGAGAGTTCTGACTAAACGTGATCCACCTGGAGTAGGAACTGGCAAGGAGTACGACAAGGCTGTATATTGTCTCTCGTCTTATTTAACTTATATGCGAAAGGCCGGACTGGAGGAATCCCAAGCCGGAATCAAGATTGCCGGAAGAAATATCAACAACCTCTGATATGCAGATAATAGCACTCTGATGGCAGAAAGTGAGAAGGAATTGAAAAAACCTCTTAATGAGGGTGAAAGAGGGGAGCGCAAAAAATAGTCTGAAGCTCAACATCAAAAAAACTAAGATCATGGCCACTGGTCCCATCACCTCATGACAAATCGAAGGGGAAGATATGGAGGCAGTGACAGTTTGCCTTCTTGGGCTCCATGATCACTGCAGATGGTGATAGCAGCCACAAAATTAAAAGACCCCTGCTTCTTGGGAGGAAATGATGACACCCTCGACAGCATCTTAAAAAGCAGAGACATCACCTTGCCAACAAAAGTCTGCATAGTCAAAGCTATGGCTTTTCCTGTAGTGATGCATGGAAGCGAGAGCTGGACAGTAAAGAAAGCTGACTGCTGAAGAATTTATGCTTTTGAATTGTGGTGCTGGAGGAGGCTCATGAGAGTCCCCTGGACTGTAAGGAGAACAAACCTATCCATTCTAAAGGAAATCAACCCTGAGTGCTCACTGGAAGGAGAGATCCTGAAGCTGAGGCTCCAATACTTTAGCCATCTCATGAGAAGACTCGACTCCCTGGAAAGACCCTGATGTTAGGAAAGTGTGACGGCAAGAGGAGAAGGGGACAACAGAGGATGAGATGGGTGGACAGTGTCATTGAAGCTACCAACAAGAATTTGACCCAACTCCGGGAGGCAGGGAAAGACAGGAGGACCTGGCGTGCTCTGGCCCATGGGGTGACCAAGAGTCAGACATGACTAAACGACTGAACAACAACAACCTTCTGCAATATAGGGACATGGTGGCACTGTAGGTTATACTGCAGAAGCCTTTGTGCTGCAAGGTCTGAAGACAGCAGTTGTAAGATCGAATCCACGCGATGGAGTGAGCTCCCATTGCTTGTCCCAATTCCTGCCAACCTATCAGTTTGAAAGGTTGCAAATGCAAGTAGATAAATAGGTACCACCATGGTGTGAAGGTAACAGCATTCTGTGTCTAGTCGTGCTGGCTGCATGACCACGGAAACTGTCTATGGACAAACACTGGCTCTACTGTTTGAAAACGGCGATGAGCACCGCGCCCTAGAGTCGGACACGACTGGACTAAATGTCAAGGGGAACCTTTACCTTACCTTCTGCAAAGGGAATACATCCTGTTCAAGGCAGTTATTCGAAAGTACTCTGTCTTTGAGCGAGAAGAGCTGTTACTGATGGTCCCCAAACCTAAACGTTGATAGTCTCTGAAACAAGCTCTTTCCACTAGCTGCTCCATTGTTGATTTCTCTGATGCTTTCAAGGTACCACTAGTCTGCATTTCACTGTCATCTGAAACTAAATGTACATTAAGTCACTACCGCAACATTTAGAAATATCATAAGTGAAGTTAAAACACTGGTAAATTGGTTAATAAAATAATGCTAGGAGAAAATATCTCCAGTATCTTATTTATTACCTGAGATATCATCATCCTCATTCCATCCAGGACGATTTGCTCTTTCTTCCATAATTGTCCCTGTTGCTTTCTTCTTTAGCAAGTGTTGTCTGCCAATTGTCATTTTTCCTGCACGTTTAGCTCCTTTTACAATTGTTTTTGAAAGTGTGCTAAAATGGAAAAAAAACTCTTGTTGAGAATTACTATATCTTTGGTAGTAAAATAAATGGACAGCAAAATAACACAAATGCTCCATACACAATAACTGTCACAGCATTTGGAACCTGATGTTGATCACAGTATTAAAAAATTAGTCATATTTAAGCACATACTTCTAAAATATCTACATTGGCTCTGCCAAAAAGGTGTTCCAGAACATGATGTGGTATTCCCTCTCTTGCACATTTGTAGAAATTACAGTACAGACATGTGTGCTATGATCTCAGAACCCCATGGCAACTCCTGTTCCACATGGGCATAGTTTTTGATTACAGGTTTTAGGCTGAAGGTGCCCCTCCTTCATGATAGAGAACAAGGGATTGACTCTTGTGAGGCAAAAAAGCCTTGTAAATAGGTACTGAAATATTAACTTAGAGAGAGTGTTCATTACTAAAATAAATGCTTAATCCTACAGCTATAGGGGACCACAACTGGTTGGACATACAACAGCTTGAACAAAAATCTGACATACATGCCATTGTTTCTGCATAACCATTATGAGTCGAGGGCAATCTTTTGAAACAGAGCATCTTTCCAAGAGGAAATATATGGGTGACTCTGTCAAATAAAAACTGGAGCCTATATCTTCATGACAGATGATTCCAGTAACAAAAGCATGGCTCCAGACATGACTTACTAATGAGTATAAATCTACTTCCAGATTAAGAATTGAGCATTTTAAGGAGCATTTTGTGATGCATGTTTAGGAGAATCAAGAATAAAAATAAAAATGAGAACCGAACTCTTTCAGAGTGGGGAGAGGGGAAGCAGGTACATATCTATAACCGTAACTGCTATTCCCTATAAAATCTATGAGATCAATTTGGCCTTAAAAGCTTGAGCTGCAGCAGGGAGGAAGCTGTCCTGGTTAATCAGAAAGAAACACAGTATCACTTTTTCAGCAAGTTCCTTGTGAATGTTGCACATTTTCTGTGTATTATTTGGAAGATCTATGAAAAGGAATGCCTGGATATTTGTAGGAAACAGCCTGTTTGACTGAATGGTCATCTATCTTCAAATTAAATCTAGATTTTTTTATGTGTGAGAAATACAACATTTTGGATTTTCCATAATTATCTGGTTTTCTCTACAATAATGCCTAAGAACAGCTGGTATTTTTAGTCCCACCCTAGTTTGAGACAACAGTACTGCTTTGTGAGCATACGGAAGAGTAAACTCTTTGTCTGGGCTACCTTTGGTGGATGGAAATCTATTAATACCTTGAGTAAGTCACAAAGGTAAATATTAAAAAATAAAGAGGTTAATACACAAGCTTGTGTAAAGTATCACATCTATTGCAATGTCTCTTTGTTAGACCATCCGGGAAAAAGCATACAGTATGTTATACATACAGTATGTACCTTTAGTATTCTATAATTTGGTAAATCTTTGAAGTAAAACAAGTAGAAGAGTATTTGTAATAATAATATACATAAAGAAAAGGCATATTCCTTACCGAAAGGAAGTGTTCTTTTCCTTTTGCTTTGGTAAAATTATCTGAGGTGCAGTTTGACCAGCTGCAAAAGCAAAAGTGCTAAAGATGGACTGAGGATAGCGAAACTTCATTAGCTGTTTCTTAAACATTTCTACAACTTCAGGGCCCACTTCTTCATCAAAAGCTACTTTAATCAGCTATGTATGAAAAGAAACAACACATTAAAAAACATAAAAACACAAAACGATGTATAAGAAGTAATGAAATCAGGGTTTGGTAATGTTGATAGCAATTTATATTACTCATTTATAAAGGAATTCACCTGAACTATATAATAACACATTAGCTGCAATCCTATTATAGATTTACACAAATAAAATAACTTTTAGAAGAAAACTGCTGTAAATTAAGATCTTTCTGTAGACCTTACCTGATGCATGTCAAATTACACAAATCAGTATGCAACAGATAATGATTATGGAGATTTCTTAACTTATGGCAATTTGCTCCCAAATGTTATGCTGTTTGTGCATCTGTGCAATAGGATTTCAGCCACTATTTCCCAGATAACAATGGCTATAGATTGGAAAAGAATAAAAGTAAAGCCAGGATGCTTTCATGTGATCTTGCTGCTTCCACCAGAACTGGAGATCACTCTACTTTTTCCTTCAGTCATCTTTGTCACTTAAAATGCTTCTCTGAAGGACTGAGAGCATATTTTAAGAGGGCTACAGCAAAGTCCCCAGTTCTGTTGGCACTTCTTACCCTATAATGTTCACTATGATAACTGCAGGTGATTTCCAACACACACTTTTAAGAAACTACATGCGGCTGTATATGTTGAAAGTTCCTTACATATATTTCATGAGCGGCGAAAGTAAGAGATTATAAACATTAAACATGTAATAAATTAGCACATAGCTTCTCATACAGTGCCCAAACAACTAAACCTATGCAAAAGGAATTGTTTTATGCTATGCAAAGCAACTCTTCTCTAGAAGTGTTTTTGCAGAAAAATCTCTCTCTCTCTGCAAACTGTTTGTCAAGAAGAGCTATGTCCCAGAGAAGCATCATGCTCTGAGTGACCTTCTAAAACTATAGTTTAATGTGTCACTTTAAGGACAGAGATCTTAAGAGAAGTCAGAGACAGAGGAGGAAGGAAACCAGGTTGGTAGTAGTAGAGGAAATAAAGAATATTTAACAGAATCCAATTGAAAAAGCACACTACTATTGTCTATCAGTGTAAATTTCAGCAGCAATTTTGTTGCAGTCTAGAAGTCACTATAGACACTTGCTGTCATGAGTGAAGTTAAGCAAAAGGCATGCAACAGAAAAGTTCTAAGATGAAGAAAATGATTATTATAGTATCTATGCTGAGTTCTCAACTAACAACAATTCATTGCTGATATTTACTGATAGATTTACCCAGGTGGGCGTAACAGGATTCTGGCCATTGTTGTTTGTTCTCTAAAATAAATACATAATTGGAAGAAAGTAAGAAGGTTCTTCTGTTGCAGAAACTTCTAAAAGTTCATCCAAGAAAGAATAAATAAAATACTTTCCTAAAGCAACAATTACTATTTTAAGAGACAAAAACTTGGTCACCTTATGTGTAGGTTCATCACTCACTACCCCCGCAATTTTGTGTTTTGTTCCCACTTCACATAATTAAGCATTACTCCATGTCCCACACTTGACTTCCACCTATTTTTGTAAGAGCACCCTTTTTAAAAGATATGAATTGTTAGTTATTATTCCAATATCAAAATGTAAACATGCCATAATTCGATAATTATAGCCAATATCTTTGTATATCAAGTGTAGGACACTTATCAAGAGCATGCCAATCCCAGGTTAAAGTTACCAAGAAGACTACTATGAGGGTGAGGGATTTTTTAAGTCTGAGGAGGCAAAAGGCTCAAAGGGAGGAAAAGAGCTCCATGAACACCAAGGACAGGGGCTATGCAGGGACAGATCAAATCACAGGTGGATATTTGTGGAGGAATCCCTTCAGGAATGTTTTGAGCAGTATGATAAAAGCACGATGAGGAGTTCACAGGATGATGAGCCAAGATGGCTACAAGGGCACCCTAATAGAACAGTATGATAGTCCTTGCTGCTTAAATTTTAGGAAGACCTTTAAGGTGATAGAGACTGAACCTGGTGACTCAGAGGTGCCATGGCATCAAGGAAATTATATAGCCCAGTGTGGCGGAATGCCCACGTCACTCCTGTCTATCATAGCTGAAGCTCAAGTGCAGGAGCCTATGAGAAGACAGCAGGGGCGGAGTCAATTAGACAATTAGAGACAGAGGGAGAGAGTTAGAGAGGAGAATTGGAGTGAATGAAAGAGAATTGGAAAGTTGGATAGTTAAAATAAGAATGAGATAAATGGAACAGTAAAGCTAAATAGTCAGAGAATGTTAATAAGTTGTTTAATGTGAATAAGTAAATACAACACCTGAATTAAGCAAACGTGAAATCAAATATAAGAAGTTTAATGAGTGATCCTAAACAACAATAAAAGAACATCTGTGATTTAAAAAACCCAAAAGATAAATAAAAAAGTTATACTGGCAGCACGTGTCTGATGCAGTGTGGATGAGAGATCCACTGGTGGTAGTGGAAGAAAAAGTAAACCTATCTAGAGAGTGAACCTGTGTTTGGGGGAACGTCACACCCAGACTGAATTACTAGTGTGCATGCAAGTGCTGCTGGGTTTCCTATAGAATCAAAAGAAAATATATGTCCTATTTCCAGTTATTTCTCTGGTATGTAAAAATACAAAAGGAGCCATGATGGGTAAAACAACAGGCTGATGTAGTCTACTATTCCGTTCATTCACTGACCATCTTCTATCAAGACTGGAAATGTGCAAGATGGACATGAGGTCAATAGCGCCCTCAGTCTTTGCGGTTGCTCCCTGGAGTACCTAGCCAACCTCAGCTGTATTTGTGCTCTGGTGAACCTCTGTGTTTCATTTACTTGCTTCATTTTGATTTTATATACCTCTAGACTTTTATTCATTTATATGCAACATTTTATATAAGACCCTTAAGATAGCAAACAACAAAGAATGAAGCTTTCAGAAATCAGTAGGAGTGAACTACTTTGACTGAGGAAACATTAAAATACAGTACAGTAATTAGTCTTTAAGGTGCCACAATGTTTTTGTCCTCTTTATTTTTTATTTTTCTTTTGGTTTTGCCTGATATTTTAGCACAGACCAACACAGTTTCCTCTTCTAAAACTATGTTGACTGCATCTCTATTGACTTCATGCTTCCTCAACTGATGCTACATAGAATTATGGGAAAGGGGGATTTATTTGAGACTTTGTGATGTTGGTTAAGATCATACTTTCAGAAAAAGAACACTCAAGACAGCAACATTATTCTATATAGCTTAAACAACTTTATTTCACCTGAAACGTAGCTGAGGTGATTTGCATTCCTTCTTGCATACTCTGTTGAAGTTGATTCTGGATGTTTATTTTCTTTTCTTTTATTATTGAAGCAATGGGGAAGCTCCGAATAACTGTTTGTTCTCCCACTGAGAAGATTGGTCAGAAAACATATAACATGGATCAATTAATAAAATGTGTTAATATTGTCTAATATTATGCATTATCTGGCTCAAACATATGCAAAACTGTGACGTGAAAGAAAAGCCACTATTGAAGCTAGAAGGTCTACAAAAATTCTGAGCTTATTTTGTGAAGGATATGCGGCTTATTAAGTCTGACAAATGAACAGCCAACACTTTAATCAAAAGAAACTGACAAGTTTCTTTTACATTAACTTCAGCATGTTCTATATCAGAGGTCTCCAACCCCCAGTCTGCAAACTGGCAGTGGTCTGTGGCCTAGGCAGGACTGGGCCGCTGACATAGATCTCCTGCACCCCCACAAGTGCCCCCTGCGAGCACGCCACACACATATGTGCGCTCTACCCCCTGCGAGGGAGTTGCGCGCATGTACGTGAGCACCCCTTTGTGAGCGTGCCACATGCATGCGTGTGAGCACACCACACACCCCTGAGGGCATACCACACCCCTGCGAGCGTGCCACACACCCCAAACAGTCCACGGCTGGGAAAAGGTTGGGGACCACTGTTCTATATTACCAAGTATTACACTTTATTTCATCAGTTCATTCACTTAGGGCTCACTACTTCGAAATGTATTATGACAGATACACAGTTTTCGGTATGTTTACAAGGAAATACGTTCTACTGTGCTTAGTCACTGTTACACTAAGGAAATGTGAATTAAATTGCAATTTCAACAAGTTGGCATTCCACATAAAGATTAATTTAGAACAGTAGGCTACTTGCCCTTAAAAGGCTCTGGGTAACATGACTTTAAAGACTACCATTTTAAATACAGTGGTGCCTCAGTTAACGACATTAATTCAGTCCAGCGAAATCGCTGTAGAGTGAAAACGTTGTAAAGCGAAAATAAAAAACCCATTGAAACGCATTGAAACCCGGTTAATGTGTTCCAATGGGCTAAAAACTCACCGTCCAGCGAAGATCCTCCATACGGCGGCCAATTTCGGTGCCTGTATAGCGAGGAACCCGTCCCTAAGCACAGCAGGGAGCCATTTTGAGCACTCGGGGGCCATTTTGAAAACCCAACGATCAGCTGTTTTGATCGTCATAATGCGAAGAACTGGTTCTCGAAGCAGGGAACCGATCCTCGCAAACCGAAAAAAAACCATTTATAACATCGTTTTGCGATCGCAATTACGACCGCAAAACATCATCGTGAAGCGGATTTGTCGTAATGTGGGGTAATCGTTAAGCGGGGCACAACTGTATAAACAAATCTAAAGGCTGTCCCTGTTAAGAACCTAGTGTACATACATACTAATTTATGTATTTACATAGAAAAAATATCTTCAAACCGAAAAAAAACCATTTATAACATCGTTTTGCGATCGCAATTACGACCGCAAAACATCATCGTGAAGCGGATTTGTCGTAATGTGGGGTAATCGTTAAGCGGGGCACAACTGTATAAACAAATCTAAAGGCTGTCCCTGTTAAGAACCTAGTGTACATACATACTAATTTATGTATTTACATAGAAAAAATATCTTATTTTCACAAAACAACTTATTAAAGGGGGAAGGTACCACGTCACAGGCACATTTTTAATTCACTGGGTATGGTGTACTTTGTATCCTAGTGATATCACAAATGCGATATTCTTCCCTAAAGATGTATTCATTGATGTGCAAACATAGATGAATGTGTTACAGCTACCTAGCTGATACATTTTATTGCTTTTATATAATACTCTACCTGTTAATCCTATCTACAAGGGTAGTGACAATATCAATTTCATCTTAAATGATAAATCAATCATAATAAAAAGTAATAAAAGCAACAACCAAAAACAATTAAATTTTAAAAGTTTGAGATTTTTAAAAAAAGAGAGTTCAAGCTGGTGGAGAAATATATATATAACAATGTAGACTATATGTGAAAATGCCTGGGAAGAGAATTGCACAAAATTGAATGCTATTTTCACGAAGCAACCTTTCTCCAGCTACCACCACCTGCCTTAGTTCAGATGGCAGTGGCGGTACCTGGGAGATTGCAGGGGATGGAGAGGTTAGTTTGAAAAAGCATAATTAGCAATACTACAAAGCATACACACATCCTAAGCTTGCAATGTTTTGTAATCATGTTACCAATTTTTTTTCAAAAATCTGTGTCCGTTTCTATTTGCTGGAAAACTCATACTTCTAAAAACAACAAAAAAAGTTGTGAATAAAATCTAGGTTGCAGCCCTCTCGCCCTTTGAACTTTATTTGGCTTTTTTCCTTTAGTGGGTTTTCTGCTGCAGCAATGCCAACTCTTCTTAATGGCCTGAATTATTTGTTGCTTCTCAGCAGCTATTACAACACCGAAACATACAGTTGTAGCTGCATTAGACCAAAGCTTGTACAACGTATGCACCAAATGAAAATTCTGTTTCACAAAGCACTTTTACTTTGATTGCTTTATTTTGGATGTCTTTGGAGGACTTTGATAGTTTACTTTTCTTGAAGCTAAACAAAGTGATAATTACTATTCACATTTATACCCACATTCCATATGGTTTACATGGTATATCAATTACATCACTGTTATAAACATTTCTTCAAGGCCAAAGAAATGTTGTTATCTGTTTTTGTTATCTCTCGCTGATCCAGAATTTGCTATGTCTCATTCTAGCACTTATTTGATAGTGCAGATAAGGCTTAGGCTGAACTTACAACTATGCTGATGAAAACTAATCATATTATTTAAAGTATAAAAGCATTATTACACTATTCCAAGAGATAATTGTGAATCAAATAACAAAATAATAATGTATTGAGGAAACCCTTACCAATACCACAGTACAATTCAAATTTTCATTGTTGTGTTTATATACTGTAAAGTCACTTATGACTTATGACAAGCCTATGAATTCGAGACCTCCAAAAGGACCTATTGTCAACCATCCTGCTGGTGACCGGAAATTTGAGATTGTGGGTTCCTTTATTGAGTAAATTCATCTCTTCTTTACTCTTCTTCTTCTGTTGTCTTCACTTTTTCTGTCATGTCAAAACCAACTTATGGAGATCATAATTGGTTCCATTTTTGTACTGCTCTAACAGTTAGGAAAAAACTTCCTAGCTGTTAGAGCAGTATGATAATGGAACCACTTACCTCAAGAGATGGTGAGTGCTCCAACCCTTGGAAGCATCCAAAAGAAAATTAGACAACTACCAGACTGATGTATTTTGATTTGGATTCCTGCATTGAACAGGGATTGAACTCAATGCCCTTGTAGGCCCCTTCCCTCCATTTTTTATGATTTTAATAGGCAATTTACAGTAGCCCTAATAGAGCTTTCAAGAAAAGTGAAGTATTTAAGGAGTAATTTTACTAGTCCTCCTGCTAATGAGTTTCAATGGCTGAGTGCAAACTTGAATACAGTTCTCCTGTATCCTAGTCCATCATTTTATTCATTGCACTAGAATATGTGATTTGGTCTAAAACCTATTAACTAAGTCATGCTAGTTGTAAAGCTCTCCTCTAGTACCACAGTTCAAAAAAATGTTTTTTTTCCTGTTTGCCTTTTTACTGTCCAGTTTTTACATCTGTATATATTAACAGAAGATACCATACTACAGATGATATTCACCTAGTCTCCAGTGACAAATTCTTGCACCTGAGGATCTTTTCTAGTTCCTTCATAGCTGCTCTTCTGAGTCAGCTTTCTTCTTATTTCTTGGCTGCAGTCTCAATTTCAATTGATTACTAAACTGAAGGGGGAAATCTTTAGAATGTTGGTATCTTTACTTTTAACGTTAACGTTATGTAATCCATCTGTAGATATAATTTTTGTCTATTTAACCTTTAATTGCTTTTGATTTTTCCTTTTCCACCTTCATCAGGAGTTGTTTCAAGTCACTGCTACTTTCTGCCAGTAAGACGATGTCATCTGCATATTTTCAATTATTGATCTTGCTTCCACTGATATTCACTCCATCTGAATATACTCCAGCTTGCCGTATGTGTTCTGCGTACATACCGAACAGTCAGGTATATAAAGTACACACTTGTCTGACACCTTTGCCTATGGCAGTGATGGCTAACCTATGGCACATGTGCCACACCTGGCATGCAGAGCCCTCTCTGTGGGCACATGAGCCATAAGGCTAGTGGCTAACCTAGTCTCATGACAGCACTGACCCAATCTCGGTTGTTCCCCACTGCTGAGCCCTCCGCATCTCATTGTGTGTATGAGTTGCCTGAGTTCCTGCCTTTCAGCCATGCCCCTTTTTCTCTTGGCTCATTTCCAGCCATGACTGCTTGCTTCCCTCTGCGGAATCGGGAGAGTGAAGAAACAGCATCCATAATTCTGTGAGTGAGTGACTAAGGAGAGGGAGCCTCCAAGAGGGACTAAGCTGGGTGGGCAGAGCCTGGAAGGGGGATAACAGTGACAGGGGTTTCTAGCAACTTCTAGCCTTGCTGTAATTTGGGGAGCCATTTCTTTGCTCTATGCACCCCCTTCCCATGTTCTCCACGGTGGACATGAGACGGAGCTGCTCCAGAAGAGCTTGAGGCATCGCAGTTGTGAGGAGAGCTTTAATCTCTCTAGAGACCAAGCTCTCATAACCATCCTTCTCCCCGGGAAGGGGAAAGAGGCAGAGAGAAGCGGGGAGGCGTGCTTGGTGCTTCCTCCTCCTCTGGGATCGATCCCTCCATCTGACTAGAAGGGGGGTACCCTACTACAGAGAAAGAAAGAAAGGAAGAAGTGGGGGTGGCAGACCACGAGTTCTGAAGCCCACCCTCTTTGACCCCAGGTTGACTCTGACTTATGGTGACCCTATGAATCAACGATCTCCAAAATGACCTGTCCTCAATTGCCCTGCTCAGCTCTTGTAAACTCAAGCCTTTGGTTTTCTTTAGGGAGTCCGTCCATCTCATGTTTGATCTTTCTCCTTTCCTGTTGCTTTCCACCTTTCCCAGCATTAAGGTCTTTTCCAGAGAATCCTGTCTTTTCAAGATATGTCCAAGTAGGACAAACTCAGTTTCATCATTTTTGCCTCAGAGATAGTGATAAGCCTCAGTGTTCAAGTTTTATTGCAGTGTTGGCACTTTGAAATAAATAAGTTGGTTTTGTGTTGTCGTTTGGGCACTCAGGCTCAAAAAGGTTCACCGTCACTGGCCTATGGGAAGCCATTCTGTTTCTCCGTATTCTATCGTAACATGAACTTATTGTCCAGAGTACAGATTATAGGCACACCCATTTCTTTTAGAATAGTCAATACCTTTTCATGATCCACAAAGACAAAGGCTTTGCTGAAATCAGTAAAGCACAGAATGATTTGCTTCTGAAAATCTTTGGTACTCTCCAGTAGCCAAACATATTTCTAACTCCTAGGCCAAATTACCCAACAATGTTTGGTTCTGATTTGTTTCCTACTTTTGTGTTTCAGACAGCTATGATGACCAGCACATTCTGTTTTGCTGTGTGATCAATTTTCTCCTGGATACTTCTGTTAAAGGTTTTATATCTTCTCCTTTAGCACTTATAATTGAATGAAGGTTATACTGAAAGTTTTTCCAAAAAGTCTGATTAATATTATTTGTTCAGACTTTGCATTATAGCTCCTAATTGCCTGTGCTTACCCTGCTGCAGTATTAGAGCCACACTCTTTCTTCTGATTTTGTCATTGCCAGATTAAAATATTTTAGAATTGTATGATTGAAAGTCTAATCCAGACCACTTTAGCTTTCTCATGCCAAGTACTGAAATGTTCAAATGCTCCATTTCTTGCTGTATAGTTTCCAGTTTATGTTGACTTGTTCTCCTCACATTCCACATTCCAATTATATGTGTTGTGTAGCACTGAACTTTCCTTTCACCTCTGTGCACATGGGTCACTAGATTTTCTTTTCAGCTTTCATCAAGTTAAATTAGTAACAGTGCTATTTGTACTTCTCCACTGCTCTTCCCCAGTAACTGAGTGCCTCCTGACTTGGAATTTTATCTTCCATCACCAAGGTTCCCTCTAAACTGGGTGCGTGCACAGGCACCTCTGCCTCCCTCTGTGCAACGGTCTTCCTCCTCTACGCATTAGGGTCTGGTCGTGACAGAACTCTGTGCGTGGGTGGGATGGAGTCACTTGCATGTGCAGGGGCAAAGTCATGTGAGACTGAGGTGGAGCCCCACCCAATGGAGCTGAAAGGTAGAGGGCACTTTGTCCAGCACTATCTCTTTTTTCACTTGGACTGTCTCATCACAGGCTTTTCAAAATATTAAGTATTCAGAAATGGTCTACCATTGCCTTCTTCAGTGCAGTAGCAACAATAGATAGTGTTATTGCTGTTATCTGTGAAAGATGCTCTTCCAGTGTCACATTTCACTATTGCTGCTTAGTACTTGCCCTTCACAAGTTTGTCTGCCCCATTAAACTATTAATTTTCTTCTGCTAATACGACTATTAAACTTGAAGAGTGTTGGCACATCTTAGTATGGTGTTTCAACTTTGATTATTGCACCCTGAGTAGCTCTGGGTGCCTCGTGGCGCAGTGGTTAAAACGCTGTACTGCAGCTAAAACTGTGCTCACGACCTGGGGTTCAAATCCCAGGTAGCCGGCTCAAGGTTGACTCAGCCTTCCATCCTTCCGAGGTCGGTAAAATGAGTACCCAGTTTGCCGTGGGGGCAATGTGTAGCCTGTATAATTAAAATTGTAAACCGCCCGGAGAGTGCTTGTAGCGCTATGGGGCGGTATATAAGTCCAATCAATCAATCAATCAATCAATCAATCAATCAATCAATCAATCAATCAATCTCTGCTAGGAGTCCAAACTCACAATGGAGTCTAACCTCCTAATGGCACTGCTGCTTCCCAGACACATTCAACACCCCCACACCTCATTAAAGTGTGCATCCAAGAAGTAGAAATGTTCATCACATAAATAAAAGAAATGCTAGGATGAGGAACGGTTGTGTGTGTGTGTTTTTAATAAACATTTTTGCAATTGTTCTTGTAATTGTTTTCCCCTTTTTTCTTTTCTTTTTTGTCTCTACCTCATGTGAAATTCAATAAAATGCAGTAAGTGCAATTGTTCTTGTAACATTTTTTGAAACAGTGCACTTCTATTAATTTCCATTAAATTCTTTTTCAAGAACTATATAGTTTAAATTTCTTTGACCCTTTGGTAAAAACAGTTACTTCTGTATCAGGTAATCAAAAAAGACTAATGGAAATATTTCTCAGTCAAAACATGTCACACAAATTTCCTTATCCCACAAGAAAGGACAAGTAACCCTTTCTCTTTTGCTGGCATAAATATTACACTCTTGCAGCAGTTTTACATAGGGCCAGCAAACAAGTTTTTTTAAAAAAAATCATCATATAAGTGGATTCACACCATGGTCACATGGTTGTCCACATTAGAAAACACAAAGTATATGGCTGAGAGTGAAATAAATTATATGGCTGAGAGTTACTATAACTTTGGATGCACATTTAACAGCCCTTGGGGTCATAAAAGTTACTGTTGGTCAGTAACCAGTCACATGTTCTGAAATTACTGTCACTTACTGTGAAACAAAAGATTAAAGTGCAAGGCTCCTGTATAGATGAAGACAATTTCCTATTAAGTCTATCATACTACAGTATAGGAACAGTTATAATTGTTTAGAACTTAATCAACTATGGCAAAAGGTTATGCTCAAAGTTGAGTTCAAGGTCATCATAGAGATGCCACTGTCATACAGAATGTGTTTATTACAATGAACTGCAGGACTAGACAATAGCCTTAAATGTGCTCTGGAGTAAGCATTATTTTGATATTCATAACAGAAACCATACCTAGTTGATCATGTGGTGTGCCTTTAAATATAACTCTGTATGTAGTAAGGAACAAAGCTCCTTCTGCTGGGAGAATGTGAGGGCCTCCAAGTAATCCTCCAGTTGCCTCCTCTCTGCCATCGGGATCCAGAAGCACACGAAGACCTTCACACACAAACTCCTCCCCTGGCACCAAACCTGGTCGCAAAATCTTTGGCTGAATCCAAAAGACAAGATTTTTCAAAGATATGCAACACCTAACTTATTACAGATGCCAAACTAAAAAATGATTTTGCTGGAATGACTGCATCAGTTTCTAAAGGCACACTGGTGTATAGAGGTTTCCACACAAAAAACCCAAGATTGTTTTAAAAAAATCAGTACTTAACTTGCCTATTAAACAGAAACAGAAATACCTCTTGCCTGTGTCTGATTCTAAAGCCTAACACAATGCTACAGATCAAATAATCCATTCTGAGTGTATCTGATGCAGTTCAAGATCTTCCCAAGGAGGGATAAGGTATGCCAATTGAGCACCTAATGACTTGGAACACTGTTTATCCTTTCCATTTGTAGATCACCTGGAGATCTTCCATCACTATTGCTAATCAGGAATGCCTTAGGAGAAGTTGTGCTGTTGTATTTCTTGGGAAGATCAGACAATAAATAGAAGGAGATTATACACTGGAAGGTGATGCAAGAAGAGTTTGATTGCTTAAATATTCTGCCTCTTCAATTTAAGGGAGAGAACTATGGGTTTTCAGAAATGGAGAATTATCATTGCCTAGCCATTCCCTTATGAACTGCTAGGCACCTCTGAGAACTTTACACTTACAAGTGACTCAATCAATGTAAAAGTTCCAGCTTGGGAATAATCCAACCCCCTGGCTATTCAAACTAATTGCTTTTTGGACCTTCTCCCCCTCCCCCCCCCCGGTCTTCTAATTTTGGTATAGCCTAGCTTGGAGAAGAGGTCTGGAAAACTCAAAACCTTGCATATGACTATGTTTCATTTTGGCTACTCCTAGTAAAGGCATGGCAAAACTGTAGATTTTGGCTTGGCTTTATTATTTGCCTGGTTGCTGTTTGGCCTTGGAAAGCTGGTGGATGTCCAGTGTAAATCAGCTGTGAACTTGGAACAGCAGCTCTCATCTTTATTCAGATATTCAACCAAGCTATTTTGTCTGTTTCACATTTCACAAAACTATAGCCAAACTGCTTATTGTTTTGTAGTCTTCAAAGTTTTTTTAAATGTACTTTTTAAATTTTCTAATTTTCTTCTCAAAAATAAATAATGAAACTTTCTAATTGGCTATACATCCATTTTTTAAAAAGAAATGTAGACCAAAATACTAGCCTTCTGTATTGGTGGCAACCTTCTACTCTCCCGATGGACTGCTTCCAGAGTCTCAATGTGCATTGCGACAATTCCTTCAAATAAACACCACCACAAATGAGGACACCAAGGTAAGAGCAAAACAAACCAAAATAATTCTACCATTCTAAATACTGCTTCCACAAGTACTAGAATAGACTTGTAACATGGCTGTGTAGACATTGACATGCTAAAATTAGAATTACAAACCCTTGTTGGCAAAAACAAGAACATTTTTTTCCTAAAAATATCTTCTTTCAGACAATGCAAAAAATAATTCTACCACAAAAATGCATGAGTACAACTTGGTTTTTCATACCTGGGATCATACAGTGAAGACTTCTGATGTGATCCTGGGTAACACCACTTTCTGTACAAACTTTGTCTATGAACCTGGTGATGAAGCGCACAACTGCATTTGCAGTATCATTGTTCTCGGAATCCTCAAACCCACTTTCAGTGTCATAGCTCTCAGCAACACTTCCTGCAATGCTAAAAAAGCCAGTCTAATGAGCGAAATCCATAGTGGATTTTTTAAAAATTCAACACTCTATTACAAGCAGTTGTGAAAATGTGGAAAAAACTGATTACCCACCTATTTGTGACAATGCTATTGCTTCCACTCTCCCAGTCTCCTGTGGCGGAAGTCCTTAACAGTTTGTTTTTACTAGTATCTAATGGCACCAGCAGGTACACCATGAGGTTGGCAAAATGAATTGCCTGGCTGAAAACCATGCTTTCCTCACTCTGTACTAGCTGCTGTTGTGTCTCTTTATTAAGTGTTGGCCACAGGCGCAATTGCTCAGCAGCCAAGTCCATGGCAGTCTTTTCTTGAACCTGGCCTTCAGGATTCTTCTCCTGGAGGGAAAAACAATTTTGTATTAGATTCTTCACTTTAAAAAGCATCTCCCCAGCACACTTTTAGAATTATTTGATGTTTATACTGGCAGAACACCACATTTTTTTCTCTGAATTCATTACTACTGAAGAGGAACATTTACTGTGGAAGCTGGTGTTAAGTAAAGAGGAATCAAAATACTCCTTATTATATTAAGAAATCCATTTGTAGATAGTGGAAGAATGCAAAGATCCCTCAGATTTATTTACAAAAGCTCCCAGAACTGACCTGCTTGCAAGGTCTATTGGCAGTCATTACAGAGACTTCATAGTGTAGCTAGGAAAGGTCAAGGAGGAAGCAATCTCAAAGAAGGGAGAGAAGAAAAAAGAGATCCCAAGGGTAGCAATCTACACAGAAAGTTCTAGAAAAGGCGAGGGGGTGCAGACTTAGCTATCTATTGCCTATTGCCCCTCGCTTCATTTCAGGTTACATTAACTCATTTCTTGCTACATGTATGGATACCGTATTCCAGCAGAAAAAAAGACAGATATTTCACACAAACCACATTGTGTGTAGGAAATGGAAGAATCCAGGCTATAATTTCTAATGAAGAAAAAAGCAGATATCAAACAAGGTAAGGATGCTGGGGTTCAAAATCAGTATTTCATAAACCCACAATGCAGCTAATGTGAAGCTACAATGATGCAAGGTAATTGTAGTTAGGGATGTGCCATTTGGAGTTTTGGACTACAAATCCAAGAATTTTCCCATCTGGGAATTCCATCTGACAGGCCCAGACCTAAATTTCACTAACCTGGAGAAACACTCAGCCCAAAGTCTTTGCGGCCTTGCATAGGCCTAGTTCTGCCTGAATTCCTGTTTAAAAAGGAAGCTACTCTGCCCTGAAATTTAAGTGTGAGTCTGTTAGGCAAAACCAGAACACTGCAAGAAGGTCCCTATGCTGGTTCATGTCTCAGCCTGACTCTGCTTTTACATCCATGTTGCCCTCACTCAAATGTGGGACAAAATTAGGAGCTGTGTGCAATAACATTTTCAAATGCTATGTCCAGGTAATCTTCTTCCATTACATCCAGAACTTTCAGCATATGGAAGCACAAGAACCACTAAGGTTGGAAGTTAGTAAATAACCTATCTTAAAATTGTAGAAACTGTTTGCGAGTGTAACAGAAATCCATAACAATGCATGATAGTAGTAGGCATCCTTCAGTCTCGAAAGACTATGGTAATGTGCTCTGAATAGAGGTCTTGGAACGTCTAGTGTGGCTGAGAAGGCCAATTCAAGAGTGACAATCCCTTCCACACTGAAGACAAATACAATCTGTCCCCTGTCCAGCTCCCTGATTTTGCTGGTCTTGGGACTGCCTCTTTGCTCAGCCTGCTGAACAAGTGTCTCTTAAAAAATTGGGAGAGGCCATGTGCACCACGTGCCTCCAGGCTAAACGCTCAGATATCAAGGTTTCCCATCTGTTGAGAACTTTGTCCTGCCAAGTGATACAAAAATGTGTCAGAGACAACGCATATGGAACGTGTTCAGCTTCCTCGCCTGCCACGCACAAAGGGTCCAGGACTCACTGCAGTACAGGAGTGTGCTCAGAACACAGGCTCTATAGACCTGGATGTAGGTATATGTTGTCAGCTTCTTATTAAGCCATACTCTTCTTGTGATTTTAGAGAACATTGTAGCTGCTTTGCCAATGCGTTTATCCAGCTCAACATCTAGGGAGAGTGTCAAAGATCGGTGAGCCAAGGTACACAAAGTCATGAACAACCTCCAGTTCTTGTGTAGAGATGGCAATAGAGCGAGGCAAGTCCATGCCCTGGCCCATGACTTGTGTTTTCTTCAGGCTGATTGCAGAATTGGCAACAACAGCTGCATTATCGGCGAAGAGGAAGTCCCGCATGCATTTCCCATGGACTTTGGTCTTCACTCTCAATCTAGAGAGGTTAAAGAGCTTTCCGTCTGATCTAGTCCAGAGACAGACACCTTCTGTTGCAGTTCCAAAGGCATGCTTCAGCATGACAGCAAAAAAGATCAGTGAGGATCAGTGAGTGGACACAGCCCTGTTTCACTCTGCTTTGGATGTCAAAGGGATCTGATGTTGAGCCAAAGCATTATAATTAATACCAATAAAATGGTGCAGTCTGATTTCTTTCCCACTCTTTCTATGGAACGTCAGTTGCGTTTATTCAGGGTATTTGATGTGGCTGCTGTGTGCACGTTTACAAGCTAGTGCACATGTTGCTGTTCCCTTTTACTTCCAGACTTTTGGCATAAGGTGAAAGTGACCACAAACTGGCTGAAGAAACATGATTAAACTAATAGCATGGCATCCTCCTGTACTGTCCAACCTCTTGCACTCTTTCAGTAGGTGAGCCACATGTAGCTATAAATACTTTACATCACACCAAAAATGATCATGTTTTCACATGCTGTATTTATCTTTCTTGGTAAACTAGACAGATGGCACGTAGGCAAAATGTATTGTAGCCTAGAGAAATTAGGGCAAAGGTATCTGACAATTGTTAGCGCATTACCTCACTTTTTATGGCAAAGCTACAAAGACTAAAAATTGTGTAACCATCCATCCAGATTTCTATAGGACATGAGGAAAGACTGGTTAAAAGTTCTACTTCTGCCTTTGCTTGTTCATATTTTACACCTTACAGGGATGGTTCTAGATTCCCCCTTGCTTTTGTTCCCCCACAAAAGCTACACAGAACTCTGCTCTGGTTTTTTTTTGTTTTTTATTTTGGGGGGGGGGGGGGGGGGGAAGAGGCAGGATATATTTCCCTTTCTCCCAAATAGCCAACTGTAGTCAGCAGGGTTTCTCCACCCTCTATGTAGCATTTGGTGTCAGGAGGGAACAGCTGCTCTAAAGAGGAGAACTGGAAAGTCCACTTTAGCCAACCTGGCTGCACTTGCCTAAATCTGGATCCAGTCCACAATGTGTACTACCAGTAGTTTTCCTGTTCTATTGCTTTTTCATATGCATAGTATTCCATAGACTATAAAAGGTATGCTCATGGCAGCATGAACCATAAGATGACAAGAGCCCACAATTACTTTCTCTAGAATTACCATGTACCTCATATTTTCAAGGCTTTATCATACTAGAGAGACGGAGACTAGAGTCATGCCTACAACTACCAATACAGTAGAATCCCCATTCTCACCCATAGCACTGTCTTATACATCTGTACTAGAGCATCTTTTTAATTTGTTCGTATTATTGCTGCTATTTTGTCAAAGCTGCATTTCTTTCTTCAAGACTACTGAATACCCATAAAAACAGTAAAAATCACTCCAGAATCATGAACTTGGGCAATCCAAGATGCTACAACACTACTATTCACACTCGTTGAAAAGCAGTCCTTACAATTACCTTGATCAGTGGATAACTGATGAAACAAAAAGGGACTCAGTTTCTGATATTTTCCCTTGCATGATATCATTTTGTTAATGGAAGTGAGCAGAAGAGGGTATCCAACAGACTACCTTGACTGCTGCCACTGGAGTTGTCAACATTCAGGCTGCCCTTTTTTGTGCAAAACTTGCCATCCTAGCAATGGCGGCACAATATTGTGCAGCAATATTGGGCCATTTCCTGGGTTTTTGAATCATGGGTACAAAAGCACAAAATCCTATATACTTAAACCAGAGTTTTTTGTTTTTTTTAAAAAAGAAATGAATTTATTTGAATTCAGGTGAAACTAGGCATGCTAGGGAGGGCAGCCCAATTTTATTATTGGCTAAGCTTTATTATAATCGTGAATCATATCCACGAAGCCCAATTTTACACTTGTATTGAAAGACTAAACAAGAGATAAACAATATTATGTTTTAGACTAATTCTGCCAGACAACAAAAACGGAATTAGACATTTTATATGAATATAGATCAAAACTGAGGATTTTTATTTCCCCAATACAATGGTTGACACTCTGCTTCTTACACACACATCTGCCGTGATCACTAAATATGACAAAAGTACAAACAGCTACTTCCAGTATAGTTTTATAGAACCCAAATGTCACTGCACAGATTTAGCTTATTTGTTTCATTATTTATTTAATGGCTGTATTACTTACTTTCTGCTTTAGGTGTTGTGATTGATTGTCTTCCTTAGTTGAGAGATAGAGGGAACGAATTTGATTTTCTACATCACTATAAAAGGTTGTTTCCCAGAACTGCTGGTTAGCCCATATTGGGTGATCTTGTACACAGGTGTATGCAAACTGACTGACTCCAGGAGCTAGTTTCTGAAAGCACAATGATACATCATCATATTAATTTTAAAATAAAAAACCAAGCCTATATCCAGTTCTACCAAAACTAGAAAACATAAATAGAATTGATAGTTAAGAAAAAGAAATAGGTTTGACAGTTTAATTACTCAAGGTATACATGTACCCTCATTATGTTCATGGGTATATTCTCTTTTGTAGCCCATCTATAATTCTTCTTCTCTGGAGACGGTATCTCACCATGCCTTACTCTTGAGTCTAGATCATCTACTAGGAGCCTGTGAGTCAGTATGGAGGTGGAAAACTCAGAAGTGAGAATCCAGATATGTTAGAATCTTTTCAAGAATAGTTTTAAAGTACAAGGAAATAATTTAGTTACTACATGTGTCTATTATCCTTGCATAGCCTGTAGCCATAGATTTGTATATAGACAGAATTTTTAAAAAAGAGTTTGAGGTTAATTTTCAGAAGACTGAATGAAGTAATATTTCCAGAAACCATGACTGAGAACCAGTAGTATGTTGCAACTAGAATAGGCCCACTGAATCAGTGGGGATTCAGTAAACCAGCTCGTCCATAATTTCCACTGGTTCAATGGGCCTGCTCTAATTAGTTTACTACTGGATTTCAGTGAATGTCTTTGTTTTATATCAGAGGGAGTCCATCTGCAAAATCTTTAACCCACAAATGCTTCACTTACTTCTTGAAGCTTTAATTGTAACCTATGCTATGGCACTGACTATACCAATATACTGCAGAAGAGTTTTGCTGGATCAATTAATTCAGATCAATATTTTTGAATGTCTGATTGTTAAATCACTCAAAGTTTTGCAATATCATGCCTCTTCCCCAAACAATTTCAAGCCCTTCAAGATTCTAGAGCTTGCCCTGCTTAACATTTATATTCAGTTTTCCTGAGAACACCCTGTTGTTTCATTATGAGGACCGAGAAAATATGTTATTGAATACAACAAAACTGCAGCCAGCAGATGGCAATAGATTCCTATGAAAACCGCATGCCATTTCTCTAGTAGGACAGTCTAATAAAAACAGTGATGCTGAATGCTTTATTTGCCCAAAGAGTTTCAATGCCAACCTCTGGCCAACAGATCTATATTTTAAAATCTTAGATGTACAGAAATATCTGAAGTATGCATTTGGTTTCTTGCTCTACCATCTTCATAGAAACTCCATGCTCCTCCATTAGCCCTGTACTACAACCCTGTAAATTCATTAGCCTACAATGACACCTAAACTCACTGTCTCTGTGTTAGCTTCTTGAGAGGCTTACATACGGGGCCAAATTTGTCATGGAACATATGAGAAGAATGAAAGCAATATATTTCACACACCTGTAACTTCATGGTTTTAGAGCTAATACACTGAAGCTGACACCTAATAAGAAGTTGAAGTTGTTAGAAGACAACATGCATCTAAGTGGGAAGTGGTCGATAACCTGCTCTTGTTATGCCCCCACCTTCTTAAGTATTGATCTTGCAGTCTGAGAGTACTACCAAATCTGGCCTCATCTTAGTAGCTCAAATAGCCTCATTAGTTAAAAAAAAAACTTTATTGAAGAACATAGAAAACAACAATCAAAATAAAAAATAACAGTACAGGTCTTTTCACAAGAAAGGATCATAGTACAAATTGAGAAACACATATTCATATATAGCCACACACTGTAAATCACAGCCAGATTAGAATATTGTACCAAAGACTCGTATGAGAGGCTGATGTCTCCCAGCCTCTCATACCAAGTATTGTTATTGTTGTTAACAAATTTGATAAAAGAAAACCATGTGTCAAAACATTATCTTGGTAGTCTGCTTGTTTAATTAAGCTGATCTGGTGAATTAATTTTTCCACCAGGACAATATGGCACATTTTATTTCTTCAGGCTTGCAAAGTTAAATTACAAGTTCCCTTCCAGATTGCCACAATTTCCTAATGCGCAGACATGCAGAAGACAATCCATTGCTTATAATTAGCCATCCATTATTGTCTGAAAATAAGGACAGAAGAGCTAGCTCTGGTGACCCTTTTAGATTTTTTTGCCTTGATTAATTTGATTTCTGTGAAAAACCTGGAACAGAAGAAATGAATTAAAGGACATACTCTGCATATATGATAATGCATACCCACATTTTCTCCAAGTTGAACTAATTTCTTCATTGATATAGCTTAAATGAAGAAGTATAAAATACCACCTGTACAGAAAGAAGCTTAATAGAATGTTCCTTAATTTTGAAAGTGATTGATTTCAGTGTAGCTTTGTTCCTGAAAGCATATCATTTTTCATAATATATGGTTATCCTTAACTTGCTTTCCCAAACCAGTTTGAGACCTAATTTACAGCTACAGCCAGACTCAATTAGTATTTTATACCATTTTGAAGCCAGACCCCTGGTTGTTTTAAATACAGCAATGTTTTAAATACAGTTGATTATTTAGTGATACCCAATGTGCAGTAGTAGATAGTGTAATGAACTAGAATTCAGGAGACCTTAATGTGAATCCCTGTTTGACCATGGAAACTTTCTGGGTAATGGAACTGGTAAAACCACTCCTTAAATATATCACTTACTTTGAAAACTCTATCAGGGTTGCCATGACATATACACAATTGCCTAGTGACCCTGCACCTTCATGACATGAATGGAAGAAAAATGAAAAAATGGGCCATGTGTCAGATGTACTTTGAACTGGATTCCTGCCCTGAGGAGAGGGTTGGATTTGATGGCCTTATAGGCTTCCTTCCAAATCCAGTATTCTGTGATCCTATGATTTGAAACTAGGAGGGTGAGATAATACTTGATCTATCAGTTGCTCCCCAAGTTTTGGACCAGAGCTGTTATAGAAACCTCTTTATCAGTATAAATTACAGTATTTCCAAAGTTTAAATTTTTCTATATCATAAAAATAAGACATGGTTGAGGAAGTGTGTCAGTGAGGATGGGGCAAAGAACAACTTATTTTGCCAGTCTTCCCAAATTTTTACTGCATTCCAAAGGAACATATTGGTTATCATAAAAGCCCTCTCCATTTTGCCAAATCTCCAGATCTCACTTCCAGTGACAGCCATGTGGGAGGTTGGGAGCCAACAAATAATTGTTTTATCTGGAATGCTACAATAATAGATTCTAAAATTTGGTACCCTTCAATCCTCTACTTTTTTATCATGAAGAAGTAGACAAGTAATAATCTGTGCGCGCACATCATACAGAAGCAAAACAAAAGAAAAACAATGAAAACAAAACAAAAAAGAGACAAAAATATTGTTGCATCTTTAAAGACTAATACCTATACTTTAATGTGAGCTTTTGTGCTTGAAGTCCACTTTCTCAGGCAGTTTTTGATTATGGAAATTCATTATATGAGATAATATCAGCGTCTTGGATCTACAGATAAAATTCATATAGTCTGCCAGTATTTAAGGGCCACATCTGATATATCTGTAGGCAAAACGTGAAAGAGATAACTGAATCTAGGTAGAACTGACATCATAATTGCTGCTATATGCTCCAATAATGACAGATGAAATGTCTGCCACTGTATGAATGTTTGTGTACTAGATGTAATAGTGATTTATAGTTTGAGATATGAACCTGAGTCAAGTGAGATGGTACCATGGAATGCTATCCATCAACTTTGGCATGTGTGCCTCCCCTCGACAAGATAATCTGGCCACAATTACTTGTGTTTTTTGGGGTAATATGTTATTTAGATTACTACAGTAAGTTGTACATATGTAGAGAAAGCTAAGTTTCAGTTTGGCGAGTGGGAATTTGGAACATATCTCTACTCTTGAAACAGTTTAATTTGCTCCTGCTCAGTTGCTCAGCCTAATTTAAGGTTCTGATTTAACAGCTTATGATCAAGATACCTGCTTCTTTTCATTCCATCCTGTTTTTCAGCACAAGCTAAAGATGAAGTTGCATTCTTGCTTTAGTTTAATAATAGGCTCACTCTAATGGCAAAAGGAGCAGCCAGTTTCAGTAACAGAACCTTGTGACCCAAGAGTCCTAATTCAGAGACGTCTGCTCCATGCTCCAAATGTGAATTTCTCATACTACCCCTGATCTACATGAGACCATACATCCCATTTTTTTCTATAGGGGATAATACCCAGTTATTTTATATACAAAGAAGAAAATGGCAGCAAGGCTATACTCATTCAGTTTCGGCACACGGACCAGGGCATATTGGTGGAGAGGGACTTGTATAAACCAGAATTAATACAATGTACTTGTGATGCACAACAAAAGATATTTGAAGAAAAGCCTGTGAAAATATGGAACCAGGTGCATGGTCACTCTGAATATTAAGTCAATAATGGCGGAACTGGCATCAATGGGATACATTCAATTGTGAGTCCCAAGTATACACACTGATTCCAGTGAGGAATATGGCAAAGAATCTTGGTCTAAGATATGCACACAAAATAATTTACTAGGGGCCCAATTAAATCAAATGAAGCACTGGTTTCAAAAAGAAGAGATTTAAGTATTTGCCTAACTCTCCCATTAATTTCAGTGTAACGCAAAAGTGCTTCATTTGGTTGGCCTGTGTCCATTATTTTCATAATCTGACTAAACACTCCTAATACAGTCTTAACAATGAATGCACAGATTTCTCCAGGGTAATATGTGGTACAAATGTTTAATTTTGAGCTTTAAGTAGAGGATCAAATTGCCTCTTCTTTACAAATGTACAAAAGCAACACAGGGGGCATTTTTGCCACAGCCATTTTTGATGCCAAGTTATAAAACCTCAACAGGGAACATCCTAGAAATTCTGACAGCACTTCATAACTATCATAGTATGAATGGCGCCACTATAATATGTGTAATCAAGGAGGATTTTGTGTGCCAATTTCAACATGATTAAATGGGTAAAATATTGAAACTAAAGACTACCTGTGACCATACACATATATGCAAAGCATTTTGATAAGGAAAATAGCTCCTAGCTGAAACTATGGTTAGAACTAACATCAATATTAAGAGCAAACA